TATCTGAGAACGAACCTCAATATGAATCTATAAATTCACATCAAATTTCTGAGGACGAACCTCTGATTGAAGAACTATTTGTACAAGACGTATCTGAAGACGAACTTCAATATGTATCATTAACTTCAAGTGAAAGCTCTGATGAAAAAACCTCGGAATGAAGAAGTATCTGAATTCGAGACGCGTGTAGACTAACATCACACAACAACTGGATAGTGGTAAAAAACTTACATATAGATCATGCATTACCATATGCTGATCTACAGGAGGTGAATATATATACCACATCCGTATGAACCGAAGGTGGTTCAAATAAATAATGCTTTATATGGTTAAAGCAAAGTCCGAAAGAATGGAATGATTACTTAAGAAAATATCTAAATAGTTGATCATTCTATGACTCGGAATATAAATCAAGTATCCATTTTCTAAAGATAGATTTACAGCTCTTAAACTAGCAAAATTATTAGAACAAGTTCGAAAGAACGTAACTGCTATAGAAAAAATATCTGGTTTATTAAATGTTACTGACATTTTAACAAAAAACAGTAACGCAAATTCAATTCAAGAAATTGGTTGAATGTTCGGAAAATAAGTTACACCCAGGAGACATTCTTCGTATAACTGAGCTAGGAGAATCAAAATCCAAGGACAAGAAGAAGATGTTGATGATCAGTTAAGAAGATCGTAAAAACATGTCTTTACGGAGGTGTGTCAGAATTATGAGGTAACACGTGATATATACGTATTACGACATTATTCATATAGGATAAAGAAATGTTACTTTACACGAAAGTGTTATTTCTGACGTTAAAACTTTTCCAACACTTTATATAAGAAATGACAAGATCTTAATTGACACTTGTCATGTTAATTATATTCCCATGTGTATATTATATACTTTAATACACCGGATCAATATCAACTTATTAAGAATGTCCTTGGAAATAAATAAAGAATCTATTACTATGAACGATTCGGTAGAAAAACCACAACATAATTCTCTACAATATCTGATTGATTCATTTTGGTGATTGATACAAGATGCTTTTAATATAATATTTATATTTATTTCTCCGTAGTGTCTTATAAATGTAACTAAATAAATATATATTAATATGTCAGAATTATGAGGTAACACGTGATATATACGTATTACGACATTATTCATATAGGATAAAGAAATGTTACTTTACACGAATGTGTTATTTCTGACGTTAAAACTTTTCCAACACTTTATATAAGAAATGACAAGATCTTAATCGACACTTGTCATGTTAATTATATTCCCATGTGTATATTATATACTTTAATACACCGGATCAATATCAACTTATTAAGAATGTCCTTGGAAATAAATAAAGAATCTATTACTATGAACGATTCGGTAGAAAAACCACAACATAATTCTCTACATAATATTTTAGATAAACAATATTTTAGATGTACCAAAATGTCATGCCTTTTTATAGGTTTAGATCCAATCTCATAATCTTAATATTATTTATTTATGATAATAAATTATGATGCCTTTGCACTCCACTTCCTATGACATGATCATCAATTGCTCAGATGATCAAGTAGATCATCATTATCGAGCTATTGGAATCTATCAAAATAATTGCTGTCAATAACATTGACAGACTATTTCTTCATATCATTAGTAATCATTGTTCATTAAAATGATTAGGGTTATGAATATAATCTTTCAGCTCATAAGAATGTTCTAGAACCATACAGATCTATAATCTATCTCTTAGGTCATATTGTTAATATTTGCATTTATGTCATTAGGGCAACAAATGTGTATTATTTCAAGGTTACATCGTACGAACCTTGATAATGTCGGGATGTAATTCGTTACAATAAATGGTGTCATATTATCAATATTGCTATTTAAAGAGATCATTGTACATTATTGTATATTATTGTATATTATTTAGTATCTTACTTTGTACATAAAAGAATATAGAAATTTATTATTATTAACAAGTATATTTACTTTAACCTACAGATCTCTACCCTTAAGATCCTATAGAATAAACGCCTACCAGCCTTCATTCTAACGTATACCGAATTAAACATACAATTAAATAATAATTATAGGCCAAATAATACAACAAGATATAGTCACGTTTATGAACAGCGCTATCAAATAGTAATATGATAAACGAAGAATCTTTGAATATGCAATTACTAAAGAGTATTGGTTTGTAGGATTACGTTGGCTCATTGTGGTCACTCTGTTACTAGATAACTGGATCGTTCTTTTAGTTTTATACATAGTTACTTGTTATATTACTATTGTATTCTTTGTTGTGAATTCTTTAGTTGTAGATATCTAATAATTGTACGTCGAGTAAATGCTGTTATGGTATTTATTCTATTCGTCTATTTGGTGGTAGATTAGTACTGTTAATAAGTATATTTATTAATAAAGAGTTCTATATCCCCTTCTTCTAATGTACAAAGTAAGTAAATAATATACAATACTATACAATTGTTTCAAATTGTAATTACTATTATTCTTTATAAGTATGAACGATAATAACACTTATTAACTGGTGTCATAGATCTTACAATCCATTCGTATTAAACTATGTTGAAACAATACACTATATATATTCTTCTTTTATACTTCAAGGTACCTTGAAGAGTTTTCGGTTCGGACAAACACTCGTGAGACATGATAATATGGCTTTATAAGAAAAAGTCACATGACCAATGTCAGCAAAGAGTCTAGCGGCTTGTTTGAACAGAAATCAAATTGTGCTATATCCAAATTATATAAAAAATTACTTGGATTGTAATAAGTTTGGTATCCTCACTACATATATAGTTAATGTTCTCATCTACAATAAAAAGAATAAAAAAATTGATACCCGCGGGGTTTGAACCCGCGCCTCCGAAGAGACCAGGACCTCGACCTGGCGCCTTAGACCACTCGGCCAGAGTATCAAAACTCTCAAACATTTAACTGAGAATTATTCAGATCTCAGCGTCAACAATATTCGAGATCACTTAATTACATTTTTCAATTTTGCTTCCAACAAATACGAAATCGGAAAACTGATCACTAAAGATTTATTCTACAGGAACACTTTCAAGAATACCTTGTATAGTTGGTATTTGTCATGTTGTAACCTAAAATGTATGGTTCACACTAATGGGTTTCAAGGTTATGGCAATAAAGGTTATGGCAGTAAAGGTTATGACAGTAAAGGTTATGACACGTTGCAATTGTTCGATCGCAAATGTCATACTCGACCTTCTAAGTAATTGCCAAATCATATCATAAGAAGTGAAGTGCAAAGGCATCATAATTTATTATCATAAATAAATAATATTAAGATTATGAGATTGGATCTGAACATATAAAAAGGCATGACATTTTGGTACATCTAAAATATTGTTTATCTAAATTATTAATATATATTTATTTAGTTACATTTATAAGACACTACGGAGAAATAAATATAAATATTATATTAAAAGCATCTTGTATCAATCACCAAAATGAATCAATCAGATATTACTTTTACATCTGAACATGTCAGAGTAAATAGAGCGTTTAAGGTTTAATAAGAAGTAGACATACGTTAAATAGGTATGTTGATTTATCACAGAGGTATGTTGGTGGTAGCTCGCTCTCCCTCTTGTAGCATAACATTATATATAACATAAATAGTCTTATATATTGGAACTTGAAATTTGTTCCAATATATACGGAAGAAATCGATGTACAGATCTTGTACAAAAAACAGCAATAGTGATAGAATCTTTATCCTAGAGTATCCAGATTAAGGTTATGGTAATTAGATCCAATAACAAAGGAGTGGCATTGATTTCCAGCACAATTGAAGGAATTTAATGTTGAAATATTTTTGTATTGTAAAGCACTTTATGTTTAGTATGAGTTATCTCTATTGAAAATCATAAGTTCTAAGTTGAAAGAAAATAATAAACTCACCTAATTTTAAATTAGTTTCTGAAAGAGAATCATCTTTGCGAAGCCAACGAAGTATATACAAACTATATAGTTGATCTGATAGTAGCCGTTTAAATCAATCTCAATACAGTCTAGTTAATTTCCATCTCCATTACTGACACTTCCTATCTTCACCTGGATCTAACATCATCACACACGGCATACTACCTCTGTTAGCCATAATAAAAATTTGAGCCAAAAAAATTTCGAAATGGAAAAATTGCACTAACAGTTAAAAACATGTACTTATCAGTTAGATTAATAGATATTTTAGCAAAGAAAGTATTCAAATAGTTGAAATCTGACATCTGCGGTGAAGCTTATCAATAACAGGAGAAGTAGGATACCGATTGAGCTCTAGGCTTTACTATTAATTACCTTTGAAAAGTGGGAAAGTGTTCTTTTTTTTGTCCAACACTTTTATTCTGGTCGAGATCGCATAACCTACTTATTTAAAGTAGCCAAAACCATATTTATTCTATTGTCAAAGATACTATAATTGATATCTGTCCTCAAACTCTATCTGTCTGTATTTTTTCCATTTTAAATTTTTTTTAATATCTCAATTTGCATCAATGTCTATTTCTCAAATGTTGAAGAGTTCTCAATTAAGATCTTCTGTTTTGAGAAACAGAAATAGCATATCCACTTTGGTGATAACAACTAGATCTTTCCGAAGTATGCCAGTTAGATGGAACCGACAACAGGAGATATCCAATTCATCAGAGGAAGAATATTCCAATCTATTGAAATACAAAGAATATTATAACGAGTTAAGAGACACCACGAATAATGTTTCTAATGAAGTAGCAGAGAAATCACCACTTTTAAATACTCTACACAAGAGATTGAATCTACCTAAGGAATTTGAATTATCATTATTATCAAGATGTTTAAGTTGCCGTTCATCTAAGCTATCACATGAATTAAGTAATCCAAAGAGTGGGTTAGCATTTGTCAACTCAGTAAATACAAATAACTATTTCGATAATTTTGGTTTAAATATATTTGGTAAAAATTTATTAACTTTCCACGTTACACATCATTTGTTACAAAAATATCCTCGTCTACCAACAGTAGTTTTAAATGCTGCTGTTGATGCTTATATCTCCGAAAAAGTTCTAGCCAGTATTGGTAAATCATGGGGTATTGAAACGGAAAACACCTCTGTATTAGATAGATTCACAAGAAATGAACCAATTAACATAACTTTAGGTAAATTGAGGTTTATGAATAACTCATTAAATAAGGAAGATGGCATTGAATATGTCTCTGGTCAATTACAATCATCAGATGCCGCATATGCTTTGGCAGTAAGATCAATTATAGCAACATTGTGGGCATCAACTCAAAAGACTCAACCTGATTTAGTAATCAAATTCATAAACGACAATATCTTAAGCAGAAAATTAGACATCACAAGAATGTTCCAATTCGAAAACCCAACCAGGGAATTGGCAACCTTATGTAGACGTGAAGGCTTCGAACAACCAATTTCAAGATTATTAGCAGAATCCGGTAGACTATCAAAGGCTCCTGTATTCATCATCGGTGTATTCTCAGGCAATGAAAAATTAGGTGAAGGTTTTGGATCTTCTTTAAAAGAAGCAAAAGCCCGTGCTGCTACCGATGCCTTAATGAAATGGTACTGTTACGAACCAACATCTGGCCAAAATCCAGTAATTGATCATGGGACTGTTATTGTATGATTTGTTGATTGATTTTAACGCAAACCTCTATATTCAATATACAATATACATAGAATGAATTGTATATATAAATACACAACTTGTACATAATAAAACTTTTATATACTTTCATTTTGGATGAATTTTAACTCTTGTATACAAAAAAGCGAATCAGAAACAATGTTCTTATAAAATTAAATTCATACAGTATTTAAGGTTTAGAAACAAAATGTTCTTGTTGGAAGGGGATGTCACTTAAGAGATAGTTACTAAGTTTGAATATAATTCAATAGGGGTTTGTATAAAAGGACAATATGACTTCTTTACCGACCATTATTATTGAAGAGAAGGTTATTCTACAGATCAATTATCAATATGAATTAAAAAGTATAATTAACAGTTCTAATCCAAATTTGGATATTCCACAATGCTTCCTTTTACTGGGTCAGAAATCAACATCAGATGAAATAACAGTTAAAGCTTGTGTTGAATTTCCATTGCTTCATAGTCAACAGTCAAATGAAAGAATTCAGAGTTCAATGGTGAAATGCGATGAAGATGCTTTGATTAGAAGAATAGAATTACAAAAGACGACAAACCCAGATCTAATTCCTACTGGTCTACTTCTGATAGATATGAATCACAATAATTATGAATATTTAATAAAAGATATTATTAAATTGGAGTCCCTTAAATTCATGTCTAAAGTGCTTTTCCATTATGAACCTAAAACTTCAACCGATGATTTGGAATTAAATTGTTATAAAATAACTACCAATGTTATTACTGATCAGTTAACTCTGACTCTCATTGATTTTGAATTAAAACTAAGTAAAATTCCAATGGAAATGGTTGATAGAAGTAAGCCAGAGATTCCAGTTAGTTCGATGATAGATGATCCAATAGATTTTTACGCTTTTGAAAAGGAGCAACGTGATCATGACAAATTTATTAAGAAACTATTGAATGAAATAGACAGAATACTTAATTATTTACAATGTGGAGGTACTAATCCAGTAATACTTCGTAAAATTTCCCTGCTTCTCTCAACTTTAAAGAAAGCGCCTACTAACGATATTGAAGATGCCATATCCAAAATTGAGAATGAGATCAATATAGTACGCATAGCGTGTGAGCAATGGGAAGTCGGAAATAAAATATCTAAAAAATAGGGCCATTTATACTAATAATCTTCGGATCCCATTAACTACTTGCCATTCCTTTGTGCTTTCATCGAACTGACAACCTAATAATTGTTTATTAGTTACTGGACATCTTCCTTCATGTTCAGGCAAGTACGCCAAGGCGCATGGATAGCAGGTTACATATCCAGTTTCCAAAATACAAGGATTCCTTATAGTATCTTTACAAATTGGACACTTATCGGAAGATGCTTCTTCTTGATTCCTGGAAGTTGTTGGTGGCCTTGGAACTTCTTTATCCAAATCATTCAATTTTTTCTGAATTCTAACAGTTATATCTTGTGTTGTCCACCATTGATATACTCTCAACATGAATAAAAATGCTGGGAAGGCCTGCGATCCAATTTGTGATAATAAATCTACCAATGATTTACCCTTTAGTTTCAATGAATTTTGGAAAGAATATAGATTTGCTTTTTTCATTTTATTATCACCAATACTCGTATTTAAATTGTGCATCTGTTTTTTCTCTAAGGGGAACAGTGCTCTTGTATAGCCAATATTAAACATATAGTCTAGAAGAGAAAATGATCCTATTTTACCAGTAAGGAAGAAAACTCTAATGACTAAATTTGAAATATAGAAGAATTTTTTGATTAGTGGATAGAGTTTTCGAAAATATTGTTTTAAATAATATTTGTAATTTCTCTCAGAATTTGTAACTAAATCAGCCGGTCTATTCAGGTGATTATGAACTTCATCCAATCTATCCTTTAAATATGGGATTATAATTTTTTGCAAAAATACTACCACCCTTTGCTTCTGAGTTAATTGTAATTGCAAAGGCCATGTTTCGCTGAATTGATTTTTTGATTGTGCCTTAAACAACACATCATTTGCAGTATTAAATCTCTGTAAACCATAAAATTTATCTACAAAAGTAGAATTATAATTTTTTATATGATACCATTCGATAGCACCCTTAAGTGCTACTTCGAACCATTCCTTAAAATAGTTGTTAACCTGTAAAGTATACCAGTTAGGATTTCTCAAAATCCAATAGTTTGTCAAAATATACCGTACTGACGATGGTAATAAAGCATCTATCTCATTTGAAGAGAATATTTCAAAAACTGTAGGATTTAATCCAGAAGTTCCAGTCTCTGACTGCGTTACGGGCAGATTAGAATAAAAACTCATGTCTTCTCCCTTTAACTTTCCCTCAGTGAGGCCAAAAAAATAAACGATGAGTAACTTGGAATAACGTAAATCACACTTGACTAGTGTCAGAGGTTCTATTTGATCAGTCCATCCACAATTTTAATATACCTTTTAACCTCAAATGTGTTTGACTATTTTTTCACTTTTTTCAACTTTGACCTGATTTGATCTTAAAGACGAGAACTGATACTCCGGATATAATATTTTCCATAGTATGTTTGAATGTCACGATATGTTAAATATGTTAGATGACAAGAGATATATAGTTAGGTTATAAGATTCGATGGGATTGAATAACATTTAAGTCATTAAATAAGATCTATATTAAATTTAAATATACAAAAATTCTATATTATATTTATCATAAAACTCATAAGTAAATTCGTTTCTGATTTGTTACGTTGAATTTTCTTACAAAGTGTTTTCAGCGTGGAAGATGTGTAAAGCTTCAGCAATTCTCTTGGTCATGGTCTTTTCACCTTCTCTAACCCAGACTCTTGGGTCGAAGTACTTCTTGTTTGGCTTGTCAGCACCGTCTGGGTTACCGACCATGGTGGAGATGTAGTCCTTCTTGTTCAAGACGTAGTCTCTGATACCAGCCAAGTAAGCGTATTGACAGTCAGTGTCTAAGTTGACCTTAACAACACCGTTGTTGATACCAGTGTTGAATTCTTCTTGGGTGGAACCGGAACCACCGTGGAAGACCAAGTACAATGGCTTAGCAACACCAGACTTTTCAGCAGCGTATTTTTGGTGGTCACCCAAGATTTCTGGGGACAAGACAACGTTACCTGGCTTGTAGACACCGTGAACGTTACCGAAAGCAGCAGCAATGGAGAAGTTTGGAGAGATTGGGGACAAAGCTTCGTAGACAGCGTAGACGGTTTCTGGGGAAGTGTACAAATCTTCCTTGGCGACGTGTTCGTTGTTGACACCATCTTCTTCACCACCGGTGATACCGATTTCCATTTCTAACCATTGGTTCATGGCAGCCATTCTCTTGAAGTACTTGACACAAGTACCGATGTTTTCGTCATCGGATTCTTCAGATAAATCCAACATGTGGGAGGAGAACAATGGTTCACCGTGGACCTTGAAGTAAGCTTCATCAGCTTCCAACATACCATCGAACCATGGCAACAACTTCTTGGCACAGTGGTCAGAGTGTAAGACGACTGGGATACCGTAAGCTGGGGCAATGGATCTGATGTAGTGAGCGGCAGCGATGGAACCTCTGATGGAAGCGTTTTGACCATCGTTGGAGACACCCTTACCAGCGAAGTAAGCGGCACCACCGTTAGAGGTTTGCAAAACAATTGGGGACTTAGCGTCTCTGGCAGCTTCTAAAGCAGCAACGACAGTAGAAGAGGAAGTGACGTTAATAGCTGGGATAGCGAACTTGTGTTCCTTACAGTAGTCGAACAAAGCTCTGACATCATCACCGACAATGACACCGGTCTTTCTGGTTAAAACGTCTTGGACACCCATTTTTAGATATTAGATTTAAGTTGTTGTGTTGTAGAAAGAAATAAATCTGACTTGGTCTTTTTATAAGTTACAAGATAAGAGTAAATGATATAATGAAATAAAGTAAACTAGAATTGAGATCAAGAAGTTTTTCAAATCAATTGAAGAATTTTGCATTTCTTATATACATTTCCAAGATGGTTTTTAGTTGAGATGTAAATTTTTTTTTTCTTCTTCTTCTTCTTCCTCTTCCTCTTCCTCTTCCTCTTTCCTTTTGCTATGTCTTTCAACTTGTTTCTTTTGCAAGAGTGAAAAATTATCTTGATGACGACAGCACAAGAGAAACGAGAAGAAGAAAGAAAAAATTTTCTTTCTTGTTTCCAGTATCTTACATTTACATTTCTAGTCAGATAGCGAGAGTGTATCTCATTGAAACCACTATTGTAATTATCCATTCGGTTTCTTTCCTGCTCGAGCATGGCGAGAGGGCAGCGAGCAGAGATCAGTGAGCAACAGCGTATCGATATTTTAATTATGATTATAAGTTTAATGTTAATTTTAATCGAATATCATAAAAACTGAAGTTGCAGTTGCAGTTGCAGTTGCAGTTGAAAATTTTCGTTAAGCCAGAAAATGTTCTTGTTGTAGTTGTCGTTGTTGGGTTCGAAGACGAGCGTTAAAATGGAATTCAGCCCAAAAACCACTCTGGTCGACATACTCGGGCGAGAGAAAAGAGAGGAAGCACAGGAAGGGAAAAGGAAAGGGAAGCTGAGGTACGAGGACAGATGCGCGATTCGAATCGAATCGAATCGATGCGATGCGACACGGAACAATACGATACGGCAGAGAGAAGAGCCCGTGGAGAGAGGGAGAGATTGGGAGAGATTGGGAGAGATTGGGAACAGGAGGACAAGCCGTAGGTGACGAATAACATAATCGAGCGAAATAGTGGAATCCCAGATGGACAGTCTGTCTTTTGTGTGAGTTTTTCTTTTTGCAATATTTTGTACTTGGAGATATTCCGTTATATGGAGAGAAGAGGAAGCTGGGGATCCACGCCCCCACGGGTTTCTGGTCTATATTTCTTATTAAGTGGAAGCCGTAAGATGGCGACGGACAAAGAAGCGAGAGGCAGCTGGTCAGCAAAAGAAACAAGAAGCGACGAGAAAACAGAGCATGTTTGTGCGTGTGTCTCTTCTTTTTTTGTTAATGCTTGCTGAGAGCGTTTGGTATGTGGTGCAAGGAATACGCGGCTTCCATTAATCAGTCGGTCACGGCATACCCACGCAGTGTCTTTCGGGAGGAGAACAGACAATCATGTTTTGGTGAGCATCCACTAATACTGAACTTAGTGGATGCGATGGTAGCGATGGGACAAATATTCTCTTTTTTTTTTTTTTTCTTTTGATGAAAATGGCTAAAAACAGATATTCTGTCTGTAAATGTCTCAAATTTCCGTTTTCCAACGATTTAGGTTTCATATGTCTGCTCGTGCAGAGTTACCAACAGCATCACTATATTTGGTTCTTTTTTTGTCCTAATTTTTGTCCTCCCCCCAATTGTCCAAGGTATGATATGATATAATTATTACAGACATGACACAATATAGTGTGCTTTTTTCTTGAACATGGACAAAAACTTAAACTAGGACAAATCCGTCGTTCTGTCACTTTTCGTTATCGCCAATGCCAATGCCAATGTCATTATCAATTATATGATTAAGTTATATATGTAGTTTACCTACAAATTGATATGCTATATGCTTGCCAATATGTTCTCTATTGAACAAGTCTCTTGAAATGTGTCTGTGTCTGTGTCATTCTTGGAATTACAAAGCTCTCGTCAAGTTGTGACGCCATTGGATGAAGAGACAGAAATGGGTAAGTGTTAACCCATACTATTGTCTGGAACTCACATTTAAATGTGAATTGAGATACGGACTGAACCCTTTGTCTAAGTTCAAGCCTCTTTTAGTCATTTAAAAGAATCCCCGGTGCTTAAACGTCCGTCATCCTCCATCTTAAAGATTGTTACTGTTTATAAGTTTAAGTTACAGAAATTAAATTAGTAATGCAACATTTTACTCAACTTGGATCCATCCAATGACGTTAACATTTAATAGTCATAAATGGATACCTGTCTACCATCCTCATCTCCCTTTCCCCCCACACACCTCCACCATATTAAGCTTTTCTTGTAAGGACCGTTTCGAAATTCGAAATTCGAATCTGGTTTATGGCTCTCGTGAAAAATTCTAAACAATTCCGTCACAGACGACACCGTACGGAATATGGAATTTCGAAATCCATAGCTTACTTGATTCGAATTGAATAAAGCATCTAATCCATCAACATCCAATTTCAATTGGTATCCACTTTCACATCCACATCCACCTCCACATCAACACAAATGTATATAAACATACCTCTCCTTGAGTCTTGAATCTTCATTTCTATCATAAGGTCCAAGCTTTCACCAACCCAATACCTAAATAGCAACTAGCCATAGCAGCTTTAACAGCTATATACCCTGAATCAAACTAATCAATAATATGCAATTGCCTTCTCGTTTTCTAACTAGTGATGCTGGCACCTTTGGTGAACACACCGCTAGTGTTCGTTGGCCAACTCTAGTTCAAAATATGATCAATGATTTAACTTCTGAATTAACTGATGATATAATCGGCACTAATAAGTATCAACAAGGTTTAATCATCAAAGATCAATTGATTGCATTCCATGAAGAGATATTGGCTGATAAGAAATTACGCAAGTTCACTGAAGAAGAAGTAGAATTGGCAGGTATCCCTCATCGCTTTAATGAATATTTAGATAATCAATCATCTCATATTACTTGGCAGGATTCTGAATGGTTATTCGCTGAAATTTACCTTTATAGAAGAGTCAACGTGCTTTTCAAGTTTCAATCGTTATGGAAGTCATTCGATATTTTTGATAGAATTAAGCAATCAACTTTTAAGTCTTCTCTACACGGTGTTGTCGAATTAGCCATAAGATATATGAACTTAAGAGACCAATTCAAATCAACAACTGACGAATCAGTACTACAAATTCTATATAAAGAATTCGTTGAAATCTCATTATGGGGTAATGCCACCGATTTATCTCTTTTAACTAACGCTACTTTGGAAGATATCAAATCAATTCAAGGTGCTAAAGCAAGACAAGAATCTGAAAAAAAAATTGTGGTCAATGACACTGAACAATCTTGGAATACTATTTTCAAGAACTATGGCAAGAAAGAAACTAGAGTTGATTTCGTTTTGGACAATTCTGGTTTCGAACTATATGCTGATTTAATGTTTGCCGCTTTCTTATTACAAACAAATTTAGCTTCTCGTTGTATATTCCATGCAAAGGATATCCCTTATATGGTCAGTGATGTCATGTTGAAAGATTTCGACATTTTAATCCATGACTTGAGAGATAGATCCTTCTTCCCTGTTGAAATAAACTCCGTCGAGGATAAAGCTTTGAATATCTTTGCCAATGACATGACTGATTTCATGACAAACAACAGACTGGAATTCCGTGAAGACTCCTTCTGGACTTGTGACCTAGATTATTGGAACATCGACCCATCTGAAACTAAATACCATGGTAAAGAAGTTCACCAAGATTTATTGAACTCAGATTTAGTAATCTTCAAAGGTGACTTGAACTATAGAAAGCTAGCCGGGGATAGAACCTGGGCTCGTACAACTCCATGGAAAACTGCAATTGGACCATTAGCCACTAATGGTTTAACCACTTTAAGTTTAAGAACTTGTAAGGCTGATGTCCAAGTCGCTTTACCAGAGGGCTTAGATGAGCAACTATGTGCTGAATATGAAAAAGAGAAGCCAGGGTTTGGTTCTTGGTGGTGCAGCAGCGGTAAATGGGCTGTTATATGTTTTAATGACTCTAAATGATACCCAAATTGTGTTTTCGATTACTACATGCTGTTTGTTTATTATATATCCAATATAGAAAATATGTACATTGATGCTTAATTTTATCAAATTATTTTTTAACATTCTTATTCGCAATATTACCATTACCATCATTATTGTTACTTATTTGTTGTTGTTGCTGCTGCTGAGGAGTAGGCATTGGAAATGGCATAAAAGGCATTGGGAAAGGCGGCATACCAAAAGGAGGCATTGGCATCGGCACTGGAGGAATAACTTTTGTAGGGGAACCACTTTGCTCGTCTAACTTTCTTTTCTTTACTTCTTTATCTGCCTCGTTCTGCACAATGGCATCATGATTTCTTGTTAAATTATCCCCCGCTGGTTCTTTATCATTTTCATGTTCCTTTATATATTTCTCTACCTCATTTTTCTTTTCCTTAGATTCTACCAATGAATCCAATAGAATATCAGGAGTCTCACAACCAGGACACACAAAATCACTTTCTAATAGATAGTTTTCAATAGCGGCTTTTGAAAAGAATTTTTTACAACATCTGCTTGTAGTGACGGGATCCCGTAATAAACCGCCAGTAATTGGACATTTCATTTCATCTGGCAAGTTTTTAAAGTGGTCTTTCCTCCATATCGATTCATTACCATTTATCAGTCTATTCTGTTGCTTACGTTGGTACTCTTCCCACGAAGACTGGTCTGCCACTTGAATAACAAATTTACCTTCATCTGTAACCATGATTTTTCTTTGGGCCATTTCCTCCGCTGTCATCGACTCCGGATCGATCTCGACAGTCTTCAAGAACTTTTTAGGAATACCAGTGGTTCTTCTGATCCTTTTACCTTCAAAGTTTGGGTCGCTGTTTGTTGGACAACTCTTGATCCAATGGTCCCTACCACCACACCTATAACACATATACCCAGGAGGTGGAGGACCCTCGTTCTCCATCGAATTCGGTCCACTGTTGGACTTATAAAAAATAGGAGTAGCCGCAGACATCTCCTGCTGCGTCTGCTCCCATTGGTTTTCTTGATTAGCAAACATATTGGCAATACGTTCCTCTTCGGTGACACCAGAAACAGAAACTGACACATTCCCAGTTCCACCCCCAGATCCAGATTCCCCTCCACTGGCACCACCCTTCTTCTGAAACACTCTCGGCTTACCAGTAACATATCTAGTCGCATTCCCCATAGTACTCGAACCACTGCTCTTCTGGCGACCATTAACAGAAATTGCCTTGATCGCAGGAGACCGTCTCACCACAATGCTGCTCGACCGAGGAATAACCTGGGAATCATCTTCATACTCCTCGTTCGTATCAGGACTATACAAACGAATCTGGAAATCAGTCCCATCACCAAGCTTGTTCTCTAGTATAATCTCCCTCTTTAAATCAAAAACCGTCAAACCAGTACCATCAAAAAGTATTCTAGAAGTGTCCTTCTGAGACTTGAACCTATAAAAAATAGCACTACTCATACCAAATTGAACATATAACAAACTGACACCGCAATTAACAATTTTAAAACTATTTTAGAACCAATCACCACCAAAAACAACCTGATAATCACTGGTCCATTGTTTGGTTAACCTTCTTTATATGGTTTTTCAAAATTTTTTGGATATCAAAATTTTTGACCTTTAAGAAACTGAAACTTTAAAAGAATTGATATCAAAGCTGGATGAGACTATACCAGTTTGATTTAAAAGGTATTGGAACCCATTTGGATTACTAAGTCGTGGGATTTGGGGGAACATTGTTGTACATTTAGGTTTTTTTGATATGTCTGCTCCAAGTTATTATGAGTTGTACCGTAGGAGTACGGTTGGGAATTGTTTAGTTGATGCTTTAGACACGTTAATTAGTGATGGTAGAATTGAAGCATCTTTGGCTATGAGGGTTTTGGAGACGTTTGACAGAGTTGTTGCTGAGTCTTTGAAGGATAATACTCAGTCCAAGTTGACTGTGAAGGGGTTGTTGGATACGTATGGGTTTTGTGATGATGTGTGGACGTTTATAATAAAGAGTTGTCAGGTTACTGTGGAGTCGAGTTCGATAAATCGAGAGTTGGGAGATACTAGTGGGGATGATCATACCACTATAGCAGTGGATAAGTTGAGGATTGTTGCTTGTAATTCCAAAAAGAGCGATTGAACTGGTTATTCTATTATTTTGTTTGGTGGCCTTTGTATATATATATCTGCGTACTTCTTTCACAGAAACTTTTTTTTCTTATTTCAATAGCCAACTATGTAATCATAATTTTAATGTTAATAATATATTTAGATGTTCTATGGTTGTCCTGTGTGCACCAGCCCATACCTTTATTTTTTTTTTTTTAAATATTTCACCTTTAACAGACGTCCTTTTTCCCTTTGGTATAAAGCAAGAGGCTCTTTTTTTTTTTCCTCACCACCACTTCTCATCACAACTTTGAACAGGCCCAGACAAGTTGCAATACACTTCAGGACCTACAAAGGGGAAACCAACCAGGAAGATTGAAATTACAAATATACCAGAGATGTCTGTCAGTGACGAGTACGCTTCGATTTTATCAGTTATCTCGACTAAAATAGATCATACAACGCTAAGACAAGATTCTGTCCAGTTTCAAAATGATCTAACCTCTGTGATCGCCAGGCTGCTGAAGTTGAAATCGGATGTCTATTCTAAATTGGCCTTGTTCAGCAAGAACGAAACCATTGAAGATGTATCGACATCATCTTTGAAGTTTTTGTCCATCGATTATTATCTAGCAGTATTATGTTCCAAGAAACAAGCTATTGGCAACAAGTTCAACAATCCATTGTCGAAAAATAGAATGAAGATAAGTTTTTTGAACAAGTCTGTGCAACTATACATGCAATTTATAATAGCTCTTCAAGATTTTGAAATATTAGACAGTAATCTAAGCAAGAAGATTGAATTATTCGAAGAAACTTATAAACCAACGCTAGCAGAATTATACTCACAACCTAAGAATGGAGAAGACCTATCAGGAGCTCAATTAAAGAGACAGCAGAAGATCGAGATGTTCAGAGCTACGAAAGCTGCAGATGAGAAACTAGCCTTATTAGAATCTAAATATACCAACACTGAAGATGATCAAGATTACGACAAAGAAGAAGAGGATATACTGCGTGACATCTACTTGCAAAGAATGAAATCATTGAGTTATAAGACTTTCAATGAACTAGAGCAAATTCTTTATGAAGAAGAACTTTTGAACAATTTCACTCAGATGTCACCAAGTGAAATGGTCAATGCCACTAATTCAAGGAACGATTCTGAAGGTGACCATGAGCGTAAATCAGAGAAAGGCTATACAGAAAGATTAGAGACTCTGAATAAGCCACTATTATCGAAAAAGGGTAAAGTGTTGAGAAATTTCACTTTATTAGACAAGAGAACGGAATTGGTGAATAAAGTACGAGGATATGGCCAATACGGACCAACAATGACAGTTGAAGAATTCTTAGAGAAAGAGTTTGAAGAAGGAAGAGTCCTTCAAGGAGGTGAGGAAGCACCAGAGGTTCATGATTCTGACGATGAAAAATGGCAAGATGAGCAAACGTATAAAGCCCGTGAATGGGATGAATTTAAAGAAGCTAATGCTAAAGGTAGCGGTAACACGATTAATCGTGGTTAAGGGATAATTGAAATTGAATGACGCTTCAAAACAAATAAGAAGAAGACACAGATCAATCAGATAGTACCCATCATGAATTGAATTGAATTAATTCAAATTTATTACATACGCTTTAGCGTGCCCATGTAATGGATAGTCATAGTCCAACAGAAAAGAATAACATTGTCTTATTATTACGATATTTTTTCAATGTATATTAAAAATACATAAATAAAAGTTCTAGATATCGATATACCTAAACAAAGAAATATATCTATATAATTAATATGTTAATGATTTAATATTAAGGAATGAGTATTGAATAGATGAGAAGTAAACTAAAAAATTAATGTAAAATTGTATTTATAATAAGTTAGCTTAGATCTTTTCTTCCCTAATACCGTGCTTCCAGATGGCAACGTATGGAGTAGTACCATCTTCACGGTAGTTCAACATGACGACCATGGCATCTGGGTCCATGGATTCACCAGTGAAGAATTCCCAGTCCTTGAAAGAACCAATGACCTTCTTGACGTAGGTTTGAGCACCCTTTTCGAAAGTTGGGATTTCATCTGGGTTGCTTTCTTGCAACTTAGCCTTGACAGCCTTCATGTAACCCTTGATGTAGGTCAAGAAAGATTTCTTGTCGAAAGCAGTTGGTTGCAAACGGAAAGAGTGAACAACGTTGTTGACGACTTCGGAACCATCTTCAACATCGTCATCACCAGCTTCAGCAGATGGATTAGCACCAATGTCGATGTTGTCACCACCAACTCTGACCATGTCACAGTCAGCTTCGTAGATGACACCGTCAACTAGTTTAGCATCATAAGCATCAGACAACAATTCGTCGTTAGAGAAAATATCGTTGAAAATAATCATGGTTAATAGTTCAATTAGGTTATTAAAGTGCCTGTGGTACTAATGTAATCCTTTCGTAAACAAACGAAACCAGAAATTAAGAATAAATTAAACCTAAACCTAAAAAAGAATCCCTTAACAATCAATAAATCAATCAATCAATCAATCAATAAATAAAAATATTTCATCATCTCTTATTCATTATATTTCATCATCTGTATATAAACTGTTCTGGTACAAATCCATCCATTCTTGAACTTTTTCGATTGGGCGAAAGAGAAAAATTTTCGTCGTTCCTTTTTTGTATGCCGGGGTGGTGGTTGTGGGTTTGGGTTTGGTGTAATCTCCCGTCTGGGAATGGGGGAGAGGGGGAAGGATTTGTCCGTGGATTGTGATGGGATCACGTGGTGTCACTGGACACAGAACATAGTCACGTGTTTGTTTGTGGATACACTGCACACCAACACATTCTTTCTCTCGGTTTCAGGTAACAGAAGAGAGATCTTGTACTTGAAGAGCATCACATCAGTTGGTTCAATCAAAAAGTGTACATATACAAATTCCCATCATGGCTAGACTGTGCCACTCACTTGCCCACTTTCCAACAACTTCTCTAGGTACTCATCTAAGATCAACCTAGTCGCTTCAGCTTTGGTTGACACTGGAATGCCTAGCCGTTTGGCAAATTCATCAAGTTGAATACCGTTGGATTTCAAATTTTGGACCATATCTGTATCTTGAATAGGTCCCAACTGAACACTCTTCGTTATAATACCGTACTTACTCACCTCTTGCTCTAACACATTACTGTATTGACCCAGTCCGGCTTTTGACGCTGAATAGAGAGATGTCCCAGGAAGATACACCTTCGGTTTGCCCAATACCGACGACACATTCAGTATATATCTGGGCTTATCAGCACCAATGGTCTTCCTATCTTTAATCATATTTTTAATCGTTAAATTACACATGCTCACTGGACTTAGCAAATTTATATTCATTATATTCTTCATCTCAGCACTGTCTGTACGTATACTCAACGATTCTTGTGTAATGCCAGCACAGTTGATCAAAAGACTTAAGTAATATCTAACCTCTTTATCTTGACTATTCCAACTCTTCAACATATCAAAAATCTTAAAGTCCCCAACCTCTTCTCTACCATTTGCACAATATTCAATGCCCTGGAATTCACGTTTAGAATCTACCCAAGTTGGCCATTCACTAAAGTCAATAGCAAGCAACCTATGTCTTTGATTCTTACTGACGTGTTTCATTGACCTTCTCAATTCTTCATTAGATATCGACCGCATCGATGACCCTATCCCTACACAATTAACCCCATGAAGAGAAAGCCTTTCAACGATGCTCTTACCAATACCTCTTGTTGCCCCAGTAACAATAGCAACTGGTTCTAACTTCATATTCAGACCCTTTTATACACCGTTTCCCAACATCCCCTCATTGATAACCACTTTGATGATTCAATCAAGGTAGATACACCATTATAGTGATGTTTTTTTTGAAATACATTTTAACCTCCAAGTTACATCGTTGATAGAAATCAAAAAACTGTCTATATCGTGGGTCCAATGCTTCAAAATCGAAAATAATAGATGAAAAGAATCGACAATAAACAAGAATAATACAAATTATATACATATAATCGTAACTAAAGTATATACGTATGCAAATATGACATAAGATCTACCACTATAATTAGCTAAATCTTATCCAAAGATTATAAAATTGATAACAAGCTTTCTATACATACCTTGTCAATATCATCATACATTTAGTACTCTCACATGAATTATCACATATAAAATACCTCTAACTTCTAACTAAAACAAAATCTTTAAAATAATACATGTCTTTTAAAAATTCGTTTAGTAGAAACCTCTTGAAGCATGAGATGTGTAATCGTAACCAGCAAAACCGTAAGGAGCATTTTGTTGGCCAGCACCACCTTGATGTTGTTGCTGTTGTTGCTGTTGTTGTTGCTGTTGCTGTTGGTATTGATAATATTGTTGGTATTGGACTTCTTGTGGAGTCAATTGTTGTTGACCTTGTTGGCCTTGTTGAGTTTGTTGACTCTCATCATTAGCTTGACCAGATGCTTGGGTAGTAGATTGCTGAGCTGGTTGACCCTGTTGTGGTTGCTGGTAGTAGTTGTAACCAGTCTTTGGAACTTGGTATGGATATTGACCACCCATGTTGTATTGTGGATGAGCATATGGGAAAGATTGTTGGTAAAATTGAGCATAGTATGGCATGAAAGAACCACCATATGGTTGCTGTTGTTGCTGTTGCTGCTGTTGTTGTTGCTGCTGTTGAGGTTGAACATGAGATGCAGCTGGAGAAACGGTAGCATTGCTCATTTCAGTGGTGGAAGTAGTTTGGCCAAATCTTTGTTGGACATTGTATTGACCAGCAGAGGCAGCAGCGCCACCTGGAGCATTAGATTGGCCCATTGGTTGTTGGTATTGTTGTTGGGCATAGCCATAAGATTGGGTATCATACATACCTGGATAAGAGTAACCTGGGAATTGGTTTTGATACATGAAGTATTGTTGTTGTTGAGCGGCGGCAGCAGCGGCGGCAGCATCATTGCCTTGTTGACCAATGTATTGTTGATGTGGTTGTTGGAAAGCATTTTGTTGCGGAGGAGCACTGTCAGATTGCATATCGACTGGGGTTTCAACTTGTTGGGATCTTTGTTGAGTTTGCTGAGCTTGTTGAACAGGGACGCTGTTAACTTGTTGTGGAGCTTCAGTTTTAATTTCAGTAGGAACAGAAACTTGAGCAACTTCTTCGTTTACTTCTTTCTTTTCTTCTTTCTTTTCAGATTCTTGTTCGACTTCTTGAGTTTGTTCTTCTTCAGATGATTCTTCTTCAGATGATTCTTCTTCGGATGATTCTTCTTCACTTGACTCTTCTTCGGATGATTCTTCTTCAGATGATTCTTCTTCACTTGATTCCTTCTTTTCGACGGATTCTGCTACTTCATTGATTTCTTTCTTCAAATCTTCTACATTTTCTAGTGGAGTTTCCTTCTTTTTGACGACTTTAGCCTTTGGAGTGGCGATTGCAGCCCAAGACAATTTCTTTGGTTTTTGTTCAGCTTCATTTTCCTGTTTTTCTTCTTTCTTTTGAGGTAGACCTTCTAGCTCCACATGTTCTTTATGTTGTTGTTGTTGCTGTGGTTCTTGCTCGTCTTCCTCTTCCTGATTTAGCTGTTCTTGCTGTTCTTTATGCTTTGTAGGTTCTTTGTGATTACTACTGTCTGCAATAGCAGCCCAACTTGTGCCTTGTGTTTGTGATTTTGCAGGAATTGGAGCTGGTTTTACATTTTCTATATTAATATGCCTAGATGATGATGATGATACTGTTGATTGTTGATGCTGTTGTTGATGTCTTTTATTTCTTGGAATTGATGATTGATTAGAACTTGAATGTTTACCATTTATACCCAGCACCATTTGCCTTTGAGTTATTACTACTACTATTGCTACTATTATTATGATGTCCTCCATAATGCGCTTGATGTTTAGAGTTATAACTATTAGATGATGTTGCTGATTGTTGTAAGTCTTGTTCTTGTAATGATTGCTGTTGTTGTAATAGTAATTTTTCCTGTTCCTTTTTTTCTTGTTTTTCCTTCTTTGTAGGCTTCTTGACTTCGTCCCACTTAGTTACTGCACCAGAAGTAATTTTATCGATTATAGTCTCTAAATCATCATACTCTTGAACTAAATCAATTAGATCATCGTTTGTCCAGTCTGGGAACAATTCTGTAAGTGTTTCTAGTTTAAACCTAATTTGTGGGTCTAATTTATTGCTATTGCTGTGATGGTTATTTGATCTCCTAAACTGTGACGACATTTTTGCTTGTTTATTTGATTGCTTGCGGGGGGTGTATGAGCGTATTTATATATATTTTCTTCCTCTCTTTATACCAAAATTTTATTTTTATTTTTTTATTTTATCGTAGGATGTGTTGCAGTAACTTCAAAACAATAAAACCAAATCCTATTGTAATAACGTTGCTAATCTGTAGTTCAAAAATAAATATAGTATCAATATATATATATATATATATTTCAAAACGTACAAATATTTTTCTTTATCCAGTGAAACAAAAAAAAAATCAAATCAAAAAGAAATAAAAAGATTAAACCGTAATTATAATAAAAAAACGTTACCTCTTCGTTGTAGACCTTAAGAATAAACTAAAATGTACTAAACAATAAGTAATCTAAACTCAAAACTAATATTATTAACTAAAATTTAACCTTTATCCACTTATATTAAAGTGAACTTTTATCAATTGTTGTTACCAGTTCAAAAGAGAAAATTTTTCTTGTACAGTTTTGGTTAAATTGGGTAATTTTTAATTTTTAATTCGTCTGAGCTGAGAGGGGAGGAGACACACGTCGTGAAGAGTGATGGTCACGTGAATATATTGTCAGGGTAACCAATTTACATAAGCAACTATGTATGGACTACTCAGCTATATATATATATATATATACACATCAAACACACACATATCAAACAGCTGAACATGCTATTGTTCCCTATATCTATATACACATCTAATAAACACTCTATTTACATAAACATTGCTCTTGCTCATCCTCATTTGCTTGGCTCAGACTCTTTGATCTTTCCTCCTGTCTCAAACGGAGCTTCCTTTCTGGCCTCATCAAGAACTGGCTTGATCCCTTGCTTGACTAACGCTGTCTCAACACAGCTAGTGTACGCATACCATTGCTTGGAACATTCGTTCTCAATAGACTTGCCTTTCAAAAACTTCTCACTATACCACTCGTTGAAACAATTGTCATACTCTTTCTTTAGCTCAGTACATTCTGGTGCAAAACTAGCCGACATGACGTTGCCCATAATATATCTTGTTGTTTTTTAGCTGGTTCTATAATACCAAATGCCTATCTCTCTCTTTCTTCAGATCACACCAATCTATTGATCTATCTGCTACGTATGCGTTGCTTTGACGTATCTTACTCCTGATATGGGTCTGTTTCTCCGTCTCAGTGTCAGACTCTAGATTCCAGAGTATAGCTGCTCCCTTAAAATTATCAATGGTTCTTCTATACCATCAAGTTTAACAACAGTTTGACCATTTCTGATGGGCTCGTTTCGATATCTTCAAGTTCGTTCTGTCTTGTTTGACACTCTCTTTACCCGGACTTAATATGATGACAGGGTAACATATATGGGGTTTCAACCGCTCACATGAAAGAAATATATAGAGACGAAGGACATGGTCTTGTAATTATTAATACAATTTTATTACCACTTATCACTATACATTATATAGATTCTAATACTCGCAAAAAAAAAACTTTAACCAAAATTTATCCACCAATTGTTTCCTTATTTATTATTATTGCATTCGAAAAAACATTCTGCTGGTTTAACTAGTTGTGAAATGTATCACGGTCCCCGGTTTAGGAACTTCTTTGGTGCTTTCGTCTGGATCATCAGACACTTTATCGTTTGCTGATGATGTTCTCATCGGTGAACTGTTTATCAGTTCATTATTCTCATCGTTATCCCTTCCATTTGTATCCATACCACTTTTATAGCCTTCTCTTCTATTCTTTGAACTCAAAAATGGTGACGCTACACTAGAACTCGAGGCATACTCCTGTTGCAACAGCAGCGACACTTTCCTTTTACGTCTTTGCCTCTGTATAGTACTTTCGTCCCCGTCATCATTCTCTCTATTATCCTCATCGCTTGAATCTGGCACTTTTAATACCCTTCCTGTAGACGTGATATCGGCAGTATGGAAATCTTGAGTGAATCCTGTGTTATTATTATCGATGTTATTATTATTGTTATTGTTGCTAGTTTGGGTCGTGAAGTTATTATTTGTAGCCATACCATTATTGCCATCCGACATTGAATTTATGGCAGGTTTTGGCATCGATGGAACCATTATCACTTCACTACTATTGCTATTTATATTGCCTGTATTGTTATTAGATGGGAACAACGTCTCTGTAGGCTTCTTCAATTTCCCAGGATTTCCAGAATCATTATTACGGTCATTAGAAAATGTATTTAGATCAACATTACCAGATTGTTGAAACATGTTCAACAACCAGCTCGAGCTATCCATTATATTGTCACAAACTTCACCATATTCTTGAACATACGGTACTATATCCTGAGTAATCTTTGTGAAACAGTAACTTAAATTGGAATCAATCTTCTGTAGATATAGAGTAATCTCTTGCTCCAATTTCTCTATCGTATCATCTGCATTATCTGAGGACATATTTGCCAAATTATCTTGTAACAACTAATGGAATAGGTTCCTACTAACTTGATAACAACAATCCAACTCTTAATCCAAGTATGGAGTACAACAATCGTCTTCGAAACAACTGTTTCTTTTACCTCTTTGTTGTTTGTTATTATTCAAAATTTCAAATTCTCAGTATTTAAAGCGAATTGGATATAAAATTGATATCCACCCAAAATTACTGCTATAAAGGGAATACCAAAAACAAATCAGTAATATATTTATTTAGATACTGTAAAAAACATATACATATATCCAACAAGAGTCAAAAGGGGAGTCCATGAATCCCAGTGATTGCCTTGTAATTCTTTAAAACATCTAACAATGGGTTTTTTCCAGTTCATAACGTAAGAGTAAAAACATGATACATTAGCTGAAAGAATCCAATAATAGATGACGGACCTTAATTTTTACCTGACAAGAGTATGACATACAGAATTTGGAATGCATTTGAATAGATAAATAAATAGAGCAGTGTAGTTTGTAGTTCCTTGCCAATTAAACATCATGCAACGTACAATCAGTTTATTTCAGGTCAATAGCAAATAAATTTTTTGTCACTACCTTATTTACAGACGGTTATACTTAAAAAATGGCTTTTAAAGCACATCATGTGCACTACGAATACAGGGAAGAGAGACAATATGCCACTGTCTCTACATTCAAACCACGATAACGTATATGTTGTAGTTTTGTAAGATGTACACACGATCAACAGATAGACACTGGTTTTCCAGCTTGTTAAACAAGGTTTTTTAAACACCTTTAACTGACAATAATCAGCCAAATTCCACCCCCTTCAGCACTCATCTTCCCAGTCAATGGATACCAAAGGGTATGTCCAACATCAATTGTATATAAATAACATTAGATGATCAGAAAGCTCTCTGTCTACTACCTGTCGACTACTGTTTATATCTGAGATGAAGTAATCCATCACTTTTTTCTTCTTCTGTACAGAACATCCCGCAGAAAGCAGGTGATGTAATTTTTAACACAGATAGAAAATTTCCTCTAATAGTGAAAAATTTAGATAAAGAAGTAGGCTTATTACTGATATTATTGTTATTGGAAGTGGTTTCTACATATTTGGATGGAGTTTACAAGCAGGATATTTTAATTTGAATCATTTTAATTAATCAGGATCGATAATTTCTTTGTTCTTTATAAACAGTTTGAGTTTTTGGCATAACCATCAATAAGGCCAGCATACCGAAAAGAAACAATAAAAAGAAACTAGGACCATAGTAATCAGAAGTATATATATAAGTACTTTCGAAACGGTTCTAAAAGGAAAGGATATAGTATACTTGGTTTTAGTTTGGTAGAGCCGTCAACAAAAGTTAGTTTTACAACATCATACAGTTGTAGTTTGATTGCTTTGTATTTACTCGATATATCTGCTTTAAATAAAAGTTTGCTCGTTAAAGGAATCTCAGATTCAATATTTTGGTTATTTCGATACCACACACACACACACTCATATATATTTAGAAATCCCATAACATGTCTCGTTTTAGCATAAAGAGGCCTGGGAATTATTTCTTCATTGTGCCATGGATCGCATTTATACCTTGGTGGGGGATGCTGATAGCGATGTTGGCCTGTTGGGCTGGTCAAGGACATCCAATATATTGGTTTATGAATGGTGATCAATTCCCGGTTTATATCTCTGATATAGGTGCAACTAATCTACAACCTTTATTTATTTCATGTTCAGGTTGGCAAGGTTTGGGTTATGTGATCTCCATTGCCTGTGAATTCTTCCAGAGATCTGGCCATTGGCCATTTCGTTTGAGATCTAAGAAGTATCTTAAAAGCACTGTTGATGAGGATTGTGATACAATGATGACAAATGATGAAATGAAATCTGAATATGCTGAAATTATGCTAAAATCAAATTTTTATATGCCTCCTTGGTACACTGTACATGATAGAAATTTTATCTTTGCTGCGTTTATATTTGGTTTGTTAGGTGAAGTGTGTTTATTGATGGCAAGTATTTTCTCAACTGCTCACTACCACCATGTCCATATCGCTATGGTTGTATTATTCGTTATCTTGATGTTCATCTCGGTTTGTTGTCTAATCGCAGAATATGCTTCAATGGGTAAACACTATGCTTTGTTGCATCCTTTAGCAAATCCTGAAACTACCATACCTTTCGAAAGACTTCGTTGGTATCAATGGAGTGGTCATATCTGGAATAAATTCACACTTAGTGCTGCATTTAAGGCAGTATGGCTGACTCTTGGTGTGGTGTGGGCAATTTGTTTTGGTGCTTGTGGAGATTCTATCAGTGCTTGTTTCGAATGGTTACTAGCATTTTGGTTCGGTTTACTGTTTATCAGCATTTCAGTAGATTTCTACTTAGGTGGTAGGTACAAATATTCTAAATATTTCCACCAAGTACAATCATTCCATGGCTATTATAAATACGACAAAATCATCTCAAGTAGCAGTAGTAGCGAATCTACATTAGCTTCAACTGACAACGAGTTTAAGCATGTCATAATCAATGATACTGACACTGCCAATGATGTAGTAGTTTAATATCTTACAGACATTTTTAATACCATACATGTTACCATAATTATGAACTATTTTTTTTTTATTTTGGTTTTACATTAATTTTGCTAATTATTTACATAGAAATATTATATATATATATATATATATATATTGGGATAGGTATGAAAGAGTGACCATGTATCATAAACTTTAATAAAAATTTTCTTTCTTTAACCTTTTATCATATGCAACTAAGCAAATTTGCCAAGAATTGAATTAAATTAAATAGTAAGGACAATTAGTGGCAATATTTTGTTCTTATACTTGTCGTTCGACTTCTCACTCACAAGGTAAAGCACAAGACAATGTAATAAACTCTCCAATTTTTGTCGATTTTTAACTTTACTTTTGGCGTTTACTACCAGATACACGTTTTAAGCCCATCTCATTAATATATTTATCCTATACACCAACTCCAAAGTAGATCCAAGAATATCGCCATTATAACAGAAGGCATGCTATAGCCCTGCAACACATGCTCAGCTCAGCCATACCCAAACTAAAAAGTCACAGGACATAGGAGTATCAATTCAATTAATAGCTAAGTATAGAAAGAGAGGGTTTCCAAATCGAATAGAACAATTCATTGCTTTGCAATATCACCCACCGTAAAGGATACCCATGCTGGTTGCGTTCTTCACAATCAGAAAGAAAGAATACATGATCGTTAAGTTGTGGGTTGGTTGCCAACTAAAAAGAAAAAAAGAATTGGAACTAGTTATCCAACAAACCTGACGCCAGATTTGAGGTAACGTAAACGAATCCTTCTCGAAATAGAGGATTGATTGTTAGACAAAGTTTCCATATCGATCACATCGATCATTGAGTAGGTCATATTTCCAATGCTTTCATCTACTAGGTAACGGCGCTACCAACCAATAGAATTTTTCGAAAAATCGAAATTGAAATTGATGATTTTACCTAAATAGGTAAGAGATAAACATATGTTAAATAATACATCATCATCGAATAGAGAGAGACATTTGGTCTACTTTTAGGTTTGAGAGAAGTTGTACCTTTGTTAAGGTTTGACCTTCCTAGGAAATAGATAGGATTATTGTAGTTTATTTTATTCTCAAAAAATTATCACATCTGAATATATATTGAAATATGTCTGATTTCTGACATATTAATTAATAAATTTAATATTTTCTATTTAATGCCAAGGATGGTAGCTTTTGGTCAAGGGATCCTTGCTTTTATCGTTAAAATATTGATTCAATTCTGCTAATTAGTAACCTTTGTTTGCTGCAATTGAGGAGGAAAGTATCGTTTGCTAAGAAAAATTCTACATTAATTAACCAAAACCAAAAAGATAACAGGAACCATCAGAAAAGAGAATTGTTAACATGTCTTATAGTTACGAGGCGTGTTTTTGGGATCAAAATGAAACTGGTGTCAATGTATTACTTGGTCACATTTCATCAGGTATTAGATCCTGTAACAGTGTTATAAGTTTCTTTAAACACAAGAGTGAGTTAGAAAAAGATTTTGCAAGAAGAATGGGTGCTATAAATGATAAATTCCTTAAAGACACAGAAAACTATCCAGAATTTGGTAATTTGAATGATGCCTTAAAGAACTTATTAAATGCAGAAAGGGCTAGAGCTCAATCTCATTCCAAACAAAGTGAAGTTATATTTAGACAATTATATACAGACACCAAATCCTTTTCTGGTGAACTACAAGCAAGATATACAACTCTTAGTGGGAAAATTGAAAAATTAAGAGCTGATAAGCACAGCAAGAAAAAAGGTTGTAAAGAATTGAACAATCGTTTAATTGATGCAGAAGGCAAGGCAAGAGCACTGAAATTAAACCAAGGCAATATTCTTGGTGGAAGAAAAGCTGAGCAAAATGAAAAAGATTATGCCAAATGGAATGCTCAAATAGTAGAAATCCAGTCACAGCTAGAGGTTTTAAAACATGAATATAAAGCATCTCAAAAGTTCTGGTTATCCGAATGGGCTGATTTAACTCGTCAATTACAAGAAATGGAGACCACTAGAATATCTTTTATTCAGGCTAAAATTCAACAATATTCAGAATCTGTATCTGAAACTAGTATTTTGGAACAAATGAAAATGGATTCTTTAACAAATCACTTAGCAGTATTTACTGCAATGGATGATATTGCAAAATTTTCCAGTCAAAATGGTACTGGTAGATTAAGATCTAAAGCTTCAATCAATAAAGATTCAAACGATTATTCTGCTTCAACTACAAGTTCAAAATATTTCACCCAAAGTATCAGAAATAATCCAGAAGAACATAATTTTTTGAGTTCTTATTCATCTCATCATACCAGCCAATACAATGATAACGTAAGAAAATTGTCTTCCAGGTTGCAAAAAAGACCTGAAATTAAAGAAGTAGATACCCACCAAGATCGTCATTATCAAGCACAAGAACCTAAAATTGAAAGACCCCACACGGACAAGGCAGTCCCAACATATCAACACAGCTCTTTTGAAGTAGCAAGAAACTTTGAGAAGCCAGAACAAGATGCAACTGACGATGATATCGAGATAATTAAAGTCGTTCCAGCTATAAAGAGTAAGAGGATTGAATCTAGACATAAACCACATGAAAGAACTGAAGTTCTTTCATCATCAGAGAGTTCATCCAATCCAACTGATTTTACCAGCCATGTTAAGAATAGATCAAGTGTTGATTCGATGGTCACATCAGTGACTTCATTTGCCAGTAATATAGATGATTCAGAAAGGTTTGCAAAATCTTGGAATAACACCAATAGAAGAAGGAAATCAATTGTGAATTTACAAGTACCATCACCAGCAACTAGTGATCATGAGGAAGATGATAAACATGAAAGAAATATCAGCATAAATACTACTATTGTGAATCCAGAAATGAGTGCTAACCGTAATTCTAATAAACATTTACGTAGAAAATCTATGGTACTCCAGGACTCTAAAAATCCTATCGAAGATGCATTATATGAGATGGATAGAATACAAAGTACAAGTACCAATGGATTTGCATCTTCTAATCCAAGAGTTGGTAGATTAAGAGATAACGGTATCACTGTAACTCTGCCTTTAGTCACGACTACTGGTGAACGTGTAATACAATTTGCAAAAGCATCATATCCTCTTCTCGACAATGATACACCAGGCTTGGTTAACTTTCACAAGAATGACTACCTATTAATCACAGAAATGATTAACAACGATTGGTTTAAAGGTGAAGTTTATGGCAATGATCTGATAGGTATTGACCACAGAAGGGGTTTAATACCTATCAACTTCATTCAAATCTTGGGTTAAAGTATAAAAGAGGGAAAGGAATATTTAATGACAATAATAATTAGTAATAAACAAAAAAAAGTAAATAATTAGATAAGTAATTATCTTTATATGTGTGTATTTTATATCGAATATCATTATCTAGATGTATTACATTATTTTAGATACTTCCTCATCGTAGTCTCATATGTAAAAAAAAATAATGCTTACCTATTGCGTATGTAGTCCTAAAAATGTATAAAATATATATATATATATGGATTTATATGAATAAACCATATCTCAGAAACTCGCTTGTTTCTGTCAACACTCAATGTTTTCCATTCATTCCATCATCAATTCCAGTGATTATATATTAACACCTGGTTCTGGAACCAAAGTACCTATACATGGATATTTGCCTTGAAAATGTTCCTCCCAATCGTTAAGGGCACTGATTTCTTCAGCAGTTAACCCAGATAAATCATCAATTGGCATATCCCAATCCTTAACACAATCCATTTCAAAAGAATTCAATGCTAAACCTCTTGAAGCATCGTGTCCAGCAAAGTTTGAATATGGTCCACTTGGACCATAAAATTGACGACCAGAACTGCAATCATAAACCTTTCCCTTGACAGCAATAAAAATTTTCTCATCGTCATGACCGTTGAACTTATATAAAGTTCTAGGATAGAATTGACCAGCTACAATTGGCTCTTCAACATTGTTAGATTCCATTATACCTGAACCACTCTCTGTAGATAAACCGGTTGGGTCTGCACTGCTCTTCACCCCACCAAAAAGTAAATTAGTAAGAAACGACATATCTTGAACTCTTCAGTCAGACAACAATTTTAGACCTAATGCACCTAAATTAGACCTATTTATATATAACCTCAGCCTTTCATCTTAATCAAATAACCACTACCATCACCTCTTCTTCTTCAGTTGCTTAAACTTTGATATAAAATGCCTTTAAAATTGTCCACTAAACGAAGGCTTACTAATCGTATTTCGGTATAAGAGAAATCTTGCTATTGGTACCAAGAGAACAGCACCAGCAAGGTCATTGTAGTAGTAACTGGGAGATAGAATTGCAGTAGGTTTATGAGTATCATGGGTATGTGATTCAGTTAATCGTAAAGATTCTTGGTTTCACTTGAATTTCTTTGGAAAGAACAGCTAAAAGTATGAGATAAAAAAAAAAAAAATAAAAAATACAGAATACCAACCTTGAATCGTCCAAATATTCTCTGAATCGAATATTGCTTTGAAGGGAGATGGGCTATAGTGTCGGTATTCACATGATAATGTTCTGTTCTGTATCCAAGAAAACTTCAGCTGATGATTTCAATGAATTGGCAATTATTTCTAATTGATGTTGTGCTTCGTTCCAATTTTCATCCTTCACTGCATCTCGTAATCCTGGGAACGTCCAAGTATCTTCGTTCACTTCTTCTGTTGACCAAAATGTGGGACCTAAAATAATGTTCTTGTAAAATGGTCGATTGTAAATACCTGCTGCATACGTTTGTGATGCGCCGATTTTAAATAATTTTTTATTCCAGTTGTAACGATGCAATGATAATATTGAGGGTTCGAAACCACTATTGTGTGCAACTACGATATTATTCCAACTATGTTTCCATGAAATCAAGTCGTTACCAACATATTTCCACCTCTTTAGGGATTCTCTTATTCCACTGAAATTCAATTGATCTTTATAATTGTCATCTAGTCTATTGATCGCATCGTTAAGGAAGTTATGGAAATCTAATATATCGAATGGAATCAATGGAATGTCAGCAATATTCAAACAACTTTGGAATGCATAAAGTATGATATCAGTTATTAGTTCTCTTTTACTAGCATCTGCTAGCAGATCTTTCAAATGGTCAAACGTATCCGCTGATGTTTCGGTAACTGGTAGACCTTGTAACATATCATTTGTCGATAAAACCGAAACTGGAATACCAGCAGAGTAAAATGGTGTCCAATCACCATATTGATGGACATTTGATACAGAAATATCAAAATTCGATTTCATATTTTCGTTTTTAAATAATGATCTCAACAATGGATGCGTTTGAACATCAATTTTCTTAGAGTCATCAGTTATACCTAACTGAGAAATATCAATAACAGAGTAAACATCTTCACGTAATTCAAAACGCCTGTGTTCTACAAACTCAGTTGCACCAGCATTGTTAAACTCAGTTCCTCCAAAAGAAATAAAGTAAATGGATCTTAGGGGGTGCCAGTCAAACTTATACTTTATCTGTTCAAACAACTGAGCTAATGTCAGTAATAGAACTGTACCAAAGTCAGGATAAATTGCACCTTTACCGATTGTATTTCTTGGTGCAGCAATAATAATAGATCTATCACCTTGTTCCCTACCTTGCAACTTTGCTACCACATTATGAACAGGGTGACGATTTCTTTCTGTGTTTTCTACTGACATAGACACTTTGATGCTACCTGGTTTACCGCTAAAATGACCGTCTTCGAATTCAACACCTTCTTTTGGAATTAACGAAAGTATTCCATTTGCTTGGTTATATGATAATGGTAGAGTTGGAATATGTGGCACAGCAAGTGAATCTTTAGGATCCAATGGTTTTACTACGGAGCCGACCCAGCCTGGAGTAAGAATATCACCAGGCCAATATTGAGGTAAAGCTACTGATTTCATTTTAACAACATCATTATTACCGTTATAAGAGTCAGATATAAAAATAATTCCTTTAGCATTATACTTTTGTGCAATTAGAATCTGCTGGCTCACCAATTTATCATAATGAATCAGTAATAAGAAATCTGACTCCAACATACCACTATCTTTCAACTTGTTCATCGAATCGAAAGTACACTTCCCCCCATAAATCAAATTAACATCGCTTAGGGAACCACTCCAAGAAAGTGGGTTCCAATTTTCTTCAGTCAATTCAATATTCTTTGTTTCACCATCTGAAGTGATAATTGACAAACTAGCAGATTCATAATAGTTTGCATAAGCAGGATATTCATTCTCAAAAACCGATTTCAAACCATTATTTGTGAAAGATTGACTGATGTATTGTCTTATAGCAGCGTCACCCTTTGTTCCCGACATGTGTGGCATACTACTGATATATTCCAGATCTCTCTCTAGTTTAGCCAAATCCACAGCAGCTCTAGCATACTCCATCAAAATGCTATGATCAGAAAATCCACCATTTATACCATAAGTCTTATCAGTAGGCAATAACCCACTTGAAACCACAATATAAGTAACGATAGACATGAATATAATATAAAAAAAACGTCTTAGGATCAAAGGATTCCCTATCTTGTTCAGCTGAAAATCCACTTTCTCAGATAACAAGTTCATAATAGACGTCATCGGATCAATAATATGCTCCTGTACAGGAATCACTACCCTTTCATTTATATTATTTCTAAACCTTCTAAATTTATCAGATAAGACCTCTGGAGTTGTTGACTCAGGTTCTTCAACTTGCATCTCTTCAATATCTCTCCCGAGGAAAAGATCATCAGGAACATCACCACCAATGTATCGAGGAGGTTCTATAGGCAACCCTTCATCAGCCTCACCTTCAACTCCAGTTTCAATACCGTTCCCTTCAACCTCATTACCATCTTCTATTGGTTCTTCATTAGGTAATCGATCATACCTTCTATCTCTTGGCAAACGCATCTCAAATTCCCTGAAAACACACTGACCAGCAATACCAGCAACGACAATAGATATATAACCTAACTGTAATGCTCGAGCTAACCTAAATCACAGATCCCTTGGGCCTTGATGAGCTTAAAATGGTGTTTCGAAACCTTATATAGTTTCTATTGATAACTCGGTTTTTATAAGCATTTTAAAGCTTCTAAAATTCGATAACTTAGATGATAATTACATATTAAAGGAAGGATGAATATGATTAGTGGATGAAAGCAGAGGGATTGGTGTTGCAATTGAAGCTAAAGTGAATGGCTTAAGTGGATTCAAGATGGGTTATAATATTGCTATGCTTTCTGATTTTTTTTATCCACAATTGGGTGGTGTAGAGTTTCATATCTACCATTTATCTCAGAAACTGATAAATTTAGGACATTCAGTTGTAGTGGTAACCCATGCATATGGTACCGATAGGATTGGTGTTAGGTATTTGACTAATGGGTTAAAAGTGTACTATGTTCCATATTTTGTTTTAACTCGAGAGACGACGTTTCCTAATGTGTTTGGTACTTTTCCATGGATACGAAATATTTTGATCAGAGAACAGATTGATATTGTCCATAGTCATGGTAGTGCATCTAGTTTCTCATTAGAAGGTATACTGCATGCTAACAGTTTAGGTTTGAGGACTGTTTTCACGGATCATTCACTTTATGGGTTTGGGAATATTACTTCTATTTGGGTTAATAAGTTGCTTACTTTTACTTTGACAAACACAGATAGAGTCATCTGTGTATCGAATACATGTAAGGATAACATGATCATGCGTACCAAGACTGATCCTAAACGGATGTACGTTATACCCAATGCTGTAGTGGCCAGTGATTTTACACCATTGGAAGATAATGATGACTGCATTGTTAGATCCAAAAAAAAGGGTATTACCATAGTTGTAATAAGTAGGCTATTTGCAAACAAGGGTTCAGATCTTCTGACACACACTATCCCAATCGTTTGTGAGAACCATACAGATGTAAACTTCATAATTGCCGGAGATGGGCCAAAATATGTGGATTTCCAACAAATGATCGAAACTTATAGATTACAAGATCGAGTACAATTGTTAGGGTCAGTGCCTCATGAAAAAGTAAGAGATGTAATGTGTCAAGGTGATATATATCTACATGCAAGTTTAACAGAGGCGTTTGGTACAGTTCTTGTGGAGGCAGCCTCTTGTGGCTTGCTGATTGTAACCACGGCAATAGGCGGGATACCTGAAGTGCTTCCTGAGGATCTCATCGTATATGCCGATGAGATATCTGTGTCCAGTCTTGTAGAAGCAACTAACAAGGGTATCAGTACCATTAGAAGCAATGATTTTGATAGAAGCTGGGTGCATCAGGAAGTAGCTAACATGTACGATTGGAGCAATGTTGCAGCGAGAACTGTGGAAGTTTATGATGGCATATTCGAAGAGGCATTGCCAGATGATAAGGACTGGTTGACAATGTTGAAGCGATTCAATAAGAGAGACGGTATCTGGGCGAAACACTTGTACATATTATGTGGGATCGTAGAATACCTAATAGTAATCTTTTTCGATTGGTGGTACCCTCGAGAGGATATTGAACCAGCAGTGAAATGGCCAACTACGAAACAACAACACCATCAGCTACATGGTCAAACCGGGATCCATTCGTACAACCATAAATAAAATAGAAGTATATAAAGGTTCATATTACAATGCATTCATTACATAGATCTTACGCGAGATAGGCATAAATTCGATTCACCAACATGGAACGTAACTTAATCGACATTAAAACCAATTCATAACAAACTAATCATCACAATCCCAATATCCCCCACCCAATTGAGTACATTGCAACTCCTTTTACATCCCAAACCTCAATTGCTTCTCTTGCTCATCTCGAGTTTACCATAGTTAAGGCCTTTTTTTGTATGTGAAATAAAACCGATTCGATTAAAACAAACACAACTTGCATTAAACTTGCAACTGAACTTGAAGATAAGTTTGAGAGAAAGCAATAGGATTGTGATTAGGAGTCCATCAGAGTGTGCTACAGTTGTGATGAGTGGTATTAGAAGAAGAAGTGTAGCCAAGGGTAATAATACTGGTGTTACCGGTCCAGTGCAGGATCAATTATTGGAAGAACAGAAACAAGAGATATATGAAGCGTTTTCTCTGTTTGATATGAACAGCGATGGGTATTTAGATTACCATGAATTGAAGGTTGCCATGCGTGCTTTGGGGTTTGATCTTCCCAAGAGAGAAATCCTTGAACTGATTGATCAGTACGATAGAGATGGGCGTCGACAAATGCAATACGATGATTTTTACCTGATCATGGGTCAAAAGATACTGAATAGAGATCCTCTGGATGAGATCAAGCGTGCGTTTAAGCTGTTTGACGACGATGGCACCGGCAAGATAAGTCTAAAGAATCTAAGACGTGTGGCTAAAGAGCTAGGTGAAAACCTCACCGATGAAGAATTAAGGGCAATGATCGATGAGTTTGATCTTGACGGCGACGGAGAAATTAATGAACAAGAGTTCATCGACATCTGCACAGAGAACTAGCCACCCTTCCTCTCTTCCACCCCCTCCTTAACCCATCATTCAACTGAATTATTTCCATCACTTCTAGAGCCTATATCTATATATCTATCTATATATGTATATGTATATCTATCTTCCTTGTAGTGTTTTATAACGTGTGTACTATTATAACTTCGAAAGTTTTGCAAATCTGGTGCTGGAAAACCCAAACGAAAGCAATCGGTAACAACTAAACCATCAACCAGCTACTAATCCCACCTATTGGATTGTTCTGATAGACCCAGTTGCCATTGCATTGGCCAGTTCCAAACAGCTTTATAGTTCCATCAATTCTAATACCTCCCCCATACATTATATCAATTACTGATCACGTGTTACATCACAATATACGTTGTGTAATTGAAAAAGTTCCAGATATCAAAAAGAATTTGAAGCCCATAAGAGATGAATATAAGAAGTGGAATATATTGAAGACAAGAAGGTTTATTTGAGCTTGATTTTGGGACCTTTGATGGACCATTGGAGTCATATAAGGTGTGTATCCGTATTGCTAGAGGTGAATAATGGAGGGAGCTTATTTGCATTTGACGAAAGTCAGGGCTAAACTGGCTAGGACTTTGGAAAACCAGCCAAGACGTTTGAGGCCAATGTATGAAAAATTTGGTAGAAAGACTACACCATTGTTTTTACAGAGTGAGAAGAGCCAGGTATTAGAGAGTGAAAGGTTCACGAAGCCAAGAGACTGGAAGTACTTGCCAGGTGACCGTGTTGTTCTTTTGAAGGGGTCTAAAGCTGGGAATATTTGTGTTATTAAGTCACTTCGTGAAGGTACGAATTCTTTTATCTTGGATGAGAATGGACCTACGAGAATGGTTGCTTTACCTAAGCCGTTCTGGACTGAGGGTCAGACTTCCCATATGATCCAGATGCCTTTGGATGTAGACCATAGTGAAATTAGGTTAGTTGCTGATATTGATGATCCTGCAAAGGACGGTTCTCTGAAAACTGTTGCAGTCAAGGATGTTGTCTTTGGTGGATCTTACTACGATGAGGATTACAAGAAGGTCATGCCTTATAGATATGTTAACGGTGATAGAAGTATGGTTATCCCATGGCCAAGACCGGCTCCTGTAGAGGAAGAGTGTGAGTTAGGTACAGATCCAGTGGTAGCTAGGGAACAGACATTCTGGGTGGACTCCATTGTTAAAAATCCAATTCCAAAAGAATCTTTGTTGACTATTCGTAACCCATATTCCAAACATAGAAGAGGCACTTTGACTGCTAAGGAAATTGCTCACTTGATGGCTCCAAAGATGCCATTGACTGAAACTAAGAAGGCTTACTTAGCTGAAAGGAAGAAGTTGGCTAAGGTCAGAGCTGAAAGACCTGTGTTGTCAGATGAGGAAAAGGATAAGATTGGTGCCAAGATCTTTGAGAAGTTCGTCAACCAATGATGTCTAGCAAATTAAACAAAATAAAGAACATAAACAAAATATTCATATGTTATATAATTTCATAATTTTTCATGTACATATTTAACGAATTCATATTGAACTGTTAACTAACCAGTGGATAGATGAACTTGGTGAATATATAAGCCAAGAATATACCACACAACATTAAGCTAATGTGGAAACGAGCTTTGGCACCATACATCAAAGATCCAATTCAATATTCAAAAGACGAAGTAGTCTTTTTTGATGAGAAGGTAGTAATTATCACAGATAAATTTGCCAAATCTGAATACCATCTGTTGGTTCTTCCTAGAAACCCATTCCTTACAAAAGAACACCCAACAATAGCATTGCAGGAATCAGTAAAGGATAAATTAGACAAATACATCGCTATTGCACAGGATCATATCTATAAGTCTTATTCAGATAAGTATTCACTGTTGGTAGGGTCAAAATGGTTTAAGGATGACGAAGAATATCGAAATAAAGAGAAGTTCATAACTGAATTTATTAATGTTGGGGTACACAGTGTCCCATCAATGTCAAACTTGCATATCCACGTTATAACAAAGGATTTCCATTCTTCTAAAATGAAACATAAGAAGCATTACAACTCATTTAATACAGAATTTTTTGTTAACTGGGACAAGTTACCTTTAAAAGAAATTCCTGATGCTAGTTACATGGAGAAAGAAGTGATAGCAAAATCTGATTTGATTTGTTCTTATTGTAGCAAGAATTTCAAGAACAAATTCAGTCTATTAAAGCAACATTTAGATGAGGAGTTCAACACGCATTTTAAATCATTGAATGATTAGTTTTTGTTTATGCACTAGAAATAAGTATTGATATTACAAGTATGAATTATTGTAAATATTTATGTAAATATATGTTTCCATTATTATTATTATATATATATGATATTTCATTATAACTTTTTGTATTCCAATGAACCTTCTAATTTTTTTACTTCCGCTACTTTTCTGACAGCCTTCATTAAATCTTCAGGAATAATATGATCACGATCGTCTCTGATAGCGAAAAAGCCGGCTTCTGTAATACAGTTACGGATATCTGCACCATTGAAACCATCACTCATTTTGACGGCGGCTTCGAAATCGAACTCACCAGCCTTTTTAACATGAGCGGTATGAATCTTGAAAATTTCTAATCTACCTGCTTCATTAGGTAGTGGGATTTCGATTTTTCTATCTAATCTACCAGGTCTTAATAAAGCAGGATCTAAAGTATCTGGTCTGTTTGTAGCCATAATAATTTTTGTTTGACCTAGGTTATCGAAACCATCCATTTGAGTCAACAATTCCATTAAAGTACGTTGGATTTCACGATCGGCTGAGGTACCTTCGCTGAATCTACGACCACCGATAGCATCAACTTCATCCATGAAGATGATACAAGGTTCGTGTTCCTTTGCGTATGCGAACATTTCTCTGATGATACGAGCAGATTCACCGATATATTTATCGACTATACCTGAAGCAGGAGAAAAGATGAAGTTGGCACCAATAGTTGCTGCTACAGCTTTGGCTAATAAAGTCTTACCGGTACCTGGGGGACCGTACAATAGAACACCCTTTGGAGGTTTGATACCTACTCTTTGGAAAATTTCTGGATTTTTCAAAGGCAATTCAATGACCTCTCTTAGTTCTCTAATCTGTTCAGTCAAACCACCGATACCGTCGAATGATATCTCACCTTGTTCGAAACTAGTCATGTTATAAACCAGAGGATCTGTTTCACGAGGTAATATTCTCATAATTGTCAGTGTAGTAATATCTAAGGTGACTCTGACACCTTTTTTCAATTTGGAACGATCTACAGAGTTCCTTACACCCACGATATAACGAGGACCTGAAGATGCTTTTACGATATATTTTTCTTCTGATAATTCCTTCATTACTTCACCGATTAGTTGCCCAATACTTTGCAAAGCCTTAATATCGTCTTCGGTTTTATCATACAGTTTTTCCATATCTTTGATGTTCTGGCGACGTTGTTTCAATTGGTCTTCGTAACGTCTGTGTTCCACTAATTTCTTCTTGAAGTCCCCCAATGCCTTATTATGAGCCTCTACTACTGGATCAACCATTTCAATGTCTTGTTGTACTTCTTCTGTGACCACCTCTTCGACGGCATTTTCAGCGCCATTGGCAGCGGCTTCCTCACCTTCGAAGGCAGCCATTAAAGGGTCCTGTTCGTCGCTCATCTCTTACAAACTTGTATATGACAGATAGTAATACCCTTTAGATTCTTATAATCTAATATTTTTCAACACCTAAAAAAAAGATAACCTCTCTATTATTGGCAAATCGTGGCCCAAAATCTCAAATTTTTCGGACTCAAAACACAAACAACCCACAACAAACCACTCCAATACAGCAATTGCCACTATAAGTTAGTCTCTTGACCTCTCTTTTACCTTCTTAAACCTGACGGTGGCAAATTAAAAACCTCATGGTCCTTTAAATATCCAAACTTTTTATACTTTTGAACTTTTCAGTGGTGTGTCGTTATACACGGAGATATCCGGGTAACAGGTGGACACTACTAATTCACATACAACTATACATATATACAGACATAGACATACATATACACATAGTATTGGCACCATGATTGGAAACCGTTCCCAACCATAACTTTTCTCGAGTATAACTGCCCCCCTCTCAATGTGCAATGACACTTCCTGATGCACTTTACAGTTACTGACACTCTGACTTTTGCTCTTGATTTGGGAAGCAGATAACACACACATACACACCTCTTTCATCAGAAAACTATTTAAATACATATACATGACACTGCATACACCTGTTCCAAATATATACCCCCCCCTGGCTGACCCTGTGACCCTCTGGTGTCTCATCATCCTGTCATCTTGGTCACTTAGGCTTCAGCTCATCTCATCGCATCTCTTTTGGCCCATACTGAAAAATTTAAAGCTACATAATTAAAAAGTGAAAAATTTTTGTATGGTTCAAGTACTAAAGAAGTGTTAATAACAAGGTCAAGTGAAGGTCTTTGAAGGTTTCAAGGTGGCCAATTGTGTATTTACTAGTTGTTGGTTTGATCTGAGTTTGTTTTCGTTTCAAGTTTGGCGGATTTTTAGTGATGAAATTGCAAGCTTTTATATTTTGTGGGTCTGGTGGGAAACTATCGCCATTTGTTCAACCACAGGTCCACCATGGTGTCAGCAATGGGCTGCCAAAGGCTCTTTTGCCTGTTGGTAATAGGGCTATGTTGGAATATGTGTTGGATTGGTGTGACCAGGCTGCTTTTACAGAGATTCATGTGGTTGCTTGGCATGAAGAGATTGAACAGATACAAGAGGGATTATTACCTTATTTAAACTTGAGAAGCGAACAGTTCGAGTTGGTTGCGAAATCTCTGACTCAGTCGTACCACAGTCATCATTTGCATAAACCTAAGCAGATTAACTTCATCGCTTCTAAGTGTAACACCACTGGGGAATCATTTCAAAAAGAGTTATTGGAAAAAATCACTGGCGATTTCGTTCTATTACCTTGTGATTTCATTACAGATATACCTCCACAGATTTTGATAGATCAATTCAGCAATAGAGACGATGATAACGTAGCTATGACCGTCTATTACAAGAACTCGATGGAAAACATCGACAAGAAACAAATGGGCAAACAGTTTTTCACTATTTATTCTGAGAATTCTGAAACTGATAAACAACCTGTTCTTTTGGACGTGTACGCCAAGGACGATGTGGCTAAAACAAAATACTTACAAATCAGAAACCATATGCTTTGGAGATATCCAAACGCAACCGTATCAACCAAATTATTAAATTCATTTATTTACTTTTGTACTTACGATTTGGTTAAACTATTATCAGTCGATGATTCAAACGATAAAAACAACAATGGTGACAGCACAAACGAGGACGAAACTAACGATGTCCAACCTATAGATTTAACAGAGATCAAACCTAGATACTTTAAAAAGGATTCGAAGTTAATCAAAGATCAGATCAATTGCAAAAGATCACTAGCCAAAATATTCAGAGATCTTGGAAGACGTTCATGGCAACATTCTGAAGAAAGGGAAACCCTGGGTATCTTTATTTTGCCTGATGTTTCCAGCTTCATTAGAGGTAACAATTTGAATTCTTACATGGAATCAAACAGATATATATTAAAGATAAAAGCTCAAAGTGCTACTAAACATGGCCAAACCAATGCTTCTTCATCTGCTATTGGTGTCGATTCCGTCGTTGGCCAACGTTGTACAATTATGGAAAAAAGTAATATCAAGATGTCTGCTATTGGGCAAGGTTGTAAAATCGGCAAACGTTGTCGTATTGCAGGTTCCATCTTGTTGCCTAATGTTGAAGTTGAAGATGATGTCATATTGGAAAATGTAATCATAGGACCACACGCAAAGATTGAAAAGAAGAGTAAATTGACAAACTGTTACGTTGAAGGTTACTACGTCGTCGAACAAAGAAGTACATTAAAGGGTGAAACCTTGACTAAGACACACATTGATTCTGAAGATGAAGTAAGTAGCAATGTTGCATACAGTAGTTCTGGAGAAGAAGATTCTGAAGAATACTCTGACAATTATTATGATGATGAAGAATTTGAAGATGATGGTCTTTTCGAACGTTAATGATATGTATATTTGTGTATGTATTCTCTGATATAGATTAATTAAAAAATACAATTAAGCTCATGGTTATTAACTACATGTCATCTATTCTATTAGCGGATGTTTATATTTACATTTATATATAATTTAATGACTGTTACTAAGTTAATTTATTAAGAATTTATATGATAGTATTGGTTTATTTTTCCTTTTTTAAACCAAATGAATAAAATAAATATATTTATTTACATGATATGATTAAGTCGCTTTTAGTTTTTGATTCGTAGACTCCTCATTACCAAAGAATGAATCCCAACGACCCTTTTTGTGAAGAATAGCTAATATCAATACAGCAGGTAAGTGGAATATACTTACCCAAAAAGTTTTTCTAGCGTAAACATTTGCCAGTGCAATACCTTTATTGAACTTTGTCTTATCACCAAATATCTCTTTAGAATAGTTAGACCTCTGTTGTAAATAAAATTTAAAAGCCCAAAATGACATCCAAGCATTGAATATACCTGAGTCAACTTGATAATACCAATCTGTGACGTTAAAATATGATAATCCAAAACACAATGGGAACATTAAAAGGGAGTATCGTAGAGAAACACGAGCGTTTAATAATGGATTTTTCCAAGCAGTCATAATATAACCAGCATTTTTATATTCATTTTTAATGTTATGACTCAATGTATTAAAGTGAGGGAATTGCCAAGCGTATAGCAAACCTGCTAGACACCACGAACCCGGGTGTGTAAGTGGACTAGCCGCAGCCCATCCCATTAATGGAGGAATTGCTCCCACTAAGGCGCCTACCCATGTATTGATAATGTGTTTCCTCTTCAACGAAGTATAAATCCATGAATATAATGCTATATTACTTGCACCTAAAATAGCCACTGTTGGGTTGACACCAATGTTTAATATACTAACACCCGCAATCCCCAATGCTGTTGCAAACTTAAATGATTGAATTGGTGTAACGACACCGCTAACGACAGGTCTAGCTTGCGTTCTCACCATCTGCCTGTCGAAATCAGGTTCTCTCCCCATATTTATGGCATTTGCAGCACCTGAACATAGTGAAGTACCAATAGTCAAACACATTAATTCACTAATTGATGCAGAATATGGAGAAAGCGCATAAGAACAAATTGCACTCAGCATGACCAACATGGTCAACCTAGGTTTAGTCAATTGTAAATATGGTTGGATAATGTTCTTTTTTATATCTTTTAAATTGTTATTACTACTCTTACTTTGTTCCAACCTTTTAATTCTTCTATCTAATTTTGTCTTTGGATCAACCAACTTGACATCAAAGGGCACAGCCGTCATTTGAGCCTTGGAATCATCATCTGTAACATCAGTAGTACATCTTAACGCCTTTCTAGCCTTGTTCATTATCTGACTATCTTGATCTGTAACATTGTTCGACACCAAATTTGGTGTGAACTCGATGGGAGCAGTATTCAACCTCTGACTATTCACACAAGTTTTAGCCTTCAACCCACGAGAACAATGTACATTAATTGCGACCTTGGAAGTACAACTTAACACTCTAGAGGCAGACATACCAAACTTCCCTACTATTAAACGTTGCTGCTGCAATGAAATATTGTTGCAAAACATAGTGGAATATCAAAAAATTTTACCGTAGTAGTCTTACAATACTTTGGGAAGGAGATGAGGAAGTGGAAAGGGACTAAAGTCCTAGGAAAATACAAACCGGCACACACACTGGAATACACAATTTTTCTACCCAACCTGATATAAGATCCTTCTCTCTTACACTTCAAAGAACCGTCTGACTTTATATTTCTTATATGCTGATTTTAAAGTTGCTCAATATTTTAAAGCTCTGCTGAGGTGACCGAAAATATTCAACTTGGATGGTGAAACTGTAACGATTGATGGGATGGTCAATGTTGTAATTGGGATTTGAAATGTATTACAAGTTCATGATATCTATTAATGACAAAACTATATAATTACTTATATAAATGTAGGTGTATATATAAATATAAATATAAATAAAGTGTGAATTAGCAGTATACTTATGCATAAGAATGCGAAAGGACCCACGGATATTAATTGAAATTCTTTATGATTGCATTTATATTATTTAGTTTTTAGATTGAATTTTAACTTTGCTTTTTGGAAATAGTGGTTGATTTCAGTTATTTGCTTGATTCTTTTGATTCTGATTTGGATGAGTTGTTTTTAGTTTCGATATCATTTGATTTTTCATGTTGTTCTTTATCCTTTTCAGATTTTTCTTGTAATTTTTTGTTCTGTATCTTATTTTCGATCAAGTCATCGAATGCAATTATTGCTCTTACAAGGTTACTAATATATATGACCATCAATTCGTCGTTTGTCTTTACTGTTAGGGCTTTTTGCAGGTTATTGGATGATTTGATGATTTCCTTGTTGTTCAAGTTCATTTCATCTTCATCGGGGGCTCCTAAATTTGGTAATAGATTGAATACATCTTGGAGTTTACCTAGGATTGCATGGTTTGCAGGTAATTCTCCATTGATGACTCTCGTTAGGTAAGAGACTATGTCTTTTAGCTTTCTTTGCAGACCTTTTAAAGACTTTAATTGGTTTGTCAATCTAATTGACAGTCCACCGGCGGCTTGGTCACGATCGTCTCTTAATAAGTGTTCAACACCTATTTCTTCAGCTTCTTCGGCCTCAATTGAACACGGTAAATGTAAGAAAGTCTTTTCTGTAGAGGTACCGTCGTCCTTAACTTGTTCGACGGCCATGTATGCATTTGTTGGAAGACCGACACCTTCTTGCTTGACATCTACAATCAATAGCAGAGGATTACCCATTGTATATTTTTTGAAAACTTCATTGATCTTTAAATCTGATGCTTTCAATTTAGGACCACTGTGGTACCATCCGATTAATTTCTCTTTTGCATTAATTTTCTTACACATTTCATTCATGTTTTCGATATAATTGTGGTCTAAAAACCACACATCTGGGTTCTTTTCGTCTTCTTCGAATGGCAAGGCAAACGAAGATGTGACTCTAATGGTATTGGTAGATGAATCACCCAATATGACACCTAAACATCTCTTGTTGGCAGGAGTATTTGTACGGTTGTAGTGGTCCAAAACGGAAAGAAGAACCAAAGGAGCGACTGTTATATTTTCATGAGCCAAAGACATTTTGATCAATGTAGTGTTTTTTATAATATATTATTTTATTATTTTGGTGCTAATGCTGGTGCTGGTTCTGGTGCAATCAGTCAATATCTCTTCTAAATGAAAATTAAAAAAATTCAACAACAGTTATTTAACAAATCTATAGTTCAGATTACTAACGAGATAATGGTCTGTTTCCAATTGGTATCTCTCTAGATGTGTCTAATCTTTTAACAGTTTTGCCACCCTTTCTTAGCTTAAATATCCTGTATATCTTAAATTGAAGCAAAACCTTTTTATATCTTTTTGGTGAAAATTAGAGGAAAACTGGGAAAACCCGGGTAAATGTGATCACGTGATATATTCGTCGTTTCTTTTTATAATTAGTCACATGATCAGTCTGATCATATGTGTTTCACGTGATGCACTTTACCCGGATTTGTATTCTGGTTGGTTCCGAAACGCACACTGAGAGATACGATGTGATGCGATGCGATGAGCTTTCATGATATTATTCAGCATCTTCATCAACCTATCTTACTAACTATTGTTGATTATACTAGATTAAAAAAAAAGGTTTGAACATAAGGTATATACACTTGAATTTTAATCTTCAACTTTTAATTGTGGGGCTTGGTTTGAGTTCATTCCATTTCATTGCAGACTAGCACTCATCTCGAAACCAGTCGCATAAGCATTTAAGCTTCAATCTCGACCATATTTTTTTTTTGCTAGCTTAACTTAGAAGATGCCATTTGGTCAAATTGTTATTGGTCCTCCAGGGTCTGGGAAATCAACCTATTGCAATGGTTGCTCACAATTCTTCAATGCTATTGGTAGACATTCACAGGTCATCAACATGGACCCTGCTAATGATAGGCTGAGTTATCCTTGTTCCGTCGATATTCGTGATTTCGTAACTATAGAGGAAATCATGCAAGAACAGCAACTAGGTCCTAACGGTGGTTTGATGTACGCTGTCGAGTCACTGCAAGAGTCCATTGATCTGTTTATCTTGCAAATTAAAGGTTTGGTGGAACAGGAGAAGGCCTATTTGATATTCGATTGTCCTGGTCAGGTCGAATTGTTCACCCATCATTCTTCTCTGTTTAATATTTTTAAAAAATTGGAAAAAGAGCTGGATATGAGATTTTGCGTTGTCAATTTGATAGATTCATACTATATCACTTCTCCTTCTCAATACGTTTCGGTGCTGTTGTTAGCTTTACGTTCAATGCTGATGATGGATCTACCTCAGGTCAATGTGTTGTCAAAGATAGATTTAGTTAAATCATACGGTGAATTGCCATTTAGGTTGGATTACTATACAGAGGTCCAGGAACTAGAATTCTTAGAACCGTTTATTGAAAAGGAATCTTCAAGTGCTTTGGGCAAGAGGTACAACAAGCTTACTGGCGCAATCAGTGAGCTGGTTTCTGATTTTAACTTGGTTTCTTTCGAAGTTTTGGCTATCGATGATAAACAAAGTATGATTCATTTGCAAAGTGTTGTTGATAAAGCAAACGGTTATATATTCGGTTCATCAGAAGTGGGCGGTGACACCGTGTGGGCAGAGGCTTCAAGGATAGGTGTCGCAATGCAAAATTATGATATTCAGGAAAGATGGATAGATAATAAAGAACAATACGATAAAGAAGCTATAGAAGCTCATAAGAGATTACTACAAGAACAAGATATGCAAGACAAAGAAGTAGATGTTGACAATGACGATGAATGGGAATCTGCTCTACGCGAATGGGAGGAAAAGCAAGGCATGGATTATGTCAGATAAACATATTCCGACTATAGAACAAATCTACCGTAATTCTATCTTCTTATTCCATCTTTGTCACACCAGTTATTTTCATTATTCTTTATGATGATGTTTATAAATGTTGTTTGTTTACATACTGATTACGCACTGGTTTTAAATCGAAAAGAGGGGGATAGTGTTCTTGTGCTGCCAAGAACATCATATAGTCGATAGTTTCAAGTTCGATTCGTCATCTAAACCTTTGTTTGTTTCTGGTATTGTTATTACTTGGTTTCCATGTATATATATGCACTTTTTCTTTTCTAGCGCGCGGTGCACGGGCGATGAGATGGAAAAAAACCCAGCATTTAATGCTATAACAGCCAGCCATGTCATTAATGGATACAAAAGAATGGGTCATCTTTAAGATCTGGTTAGAAAGCAAGTACTGATGTACTTATGGGGTGACGCTGGATGGTTTTAATCGATCTTCAGGTTATACAGTAGCAGATTTAGTGAAACTGAAAACGAACCTGTTCTTTTCCCAAAATGCCAAAGGTGTCCATTCCAACAGGAACGACAAATGACAAAAAGTTTTGTATATAAGAAAATTGATGGCCAAGATTGAGTCTTTCTTTCTTTTAACTCCCTAACAACTAATTGAGTTGAAAATATACCCATCTCACTGGCAGTATATAGCAGTAATAGTATAGATATAAAAGATTTTATAAACCTAAAGGACATAGAATTGATTTCTCAAAAGTATTCATTAATCATAGATATTTGGAAAGGATGCCAAGAAAGTTTTTAGGGGAAAGAATTAGTAGTGAAACAGATGCCCTAAGGCCAGCATCTTTGACCGTTACTTCAGCAGATTTGTTAAGGTTGCCTTCATTGCCAGATGATTTATCCCATACTGACGATGGAAATACTTTTATTGAACCAATTAAGGGAAAAAGAAAGTTATCCTCAAAATTTGGTGGAACGATCAAATTAAAGCAAAGATTATCCTCAGTCCCAGAGTTATTCCTCCGTGAAAGTAAAAGAAAGAGAAATATGCAAAGAACTAAGGGTTCTGGAAGAATTCCAACTTTTAGAAAGCATAGCAAAAGAGTTAGTATGATCGAAGAAGAAACAAAATCTATGACATCTAAAGATGATCATTCTCTACACAACGGCAAACCAATTCAAGCACAGGATAAAAATGAAGATTCTAAAGTATATGACTTAGTATTTGTATCAAAACCCTTAGTGATGCCTGTCCAATTACCACCATTGCCTATGCAATTGGTTCAACCACCAAACCCAGTATACAAGAATATGGAGGCAGTGGAATCGCATAGTGATGTTATTTTGGATGAAATTATAGCAGCATACATCGATGGTAACAACAAGGAAAGCGCAGAAGAGTTAAAGAAGGGTATAGATTATGTGTTGAACCAAATGTCAGATAAATCTCAACTAAAGAGATCCAAAAACGTTAATGTAAACCATCCAAAGATTGTAGGAGAAATGTTTGGCTCTGCTTTAATGGAAACACCGTCATTAGAACCAACTGTCACCAACGACCATTTGGACAACGTACTATCAAGTCCTGAATATACCGCTACCAGTAGTGGAGATCAATGGAGTACAGGTGACGAGTTTTCTGACATCAATAGTATTGGACAAAGTATCTGTTTTGAAGAGCCAATGGCAAAAACACCATGTAGTGAGGACACTGATTTTTATTCCGATTTAGAAGATGAAGCAATTACACCAGTGATTGAACAAAAACACACATTTAGAAATATTTCAAACAAAAGTGGAATCGATCTTGAAGTTATCACTTCAGATATGAGAAATATCACGCTAAATGCAGATGAAATATCAGCCAAGAATACAATTTCAACAGTTCAATTATTTAAATGCGAAATACCTCCACCACGTATACTATGCAATGATGTATATGACAGTGAATGAAATATCGAAGGGACTCTAGTCCCCCTCCCCAAATAAACTACAAATTTATCTGGATATATTCCCAATTTACATAATTATTCAAAGCATGAAGGAGTCGATTGTTGTATTGTAATTTATAATACAAATAATCTCGTCTCTGTAATAATATCATCGTCATCATTGGCAGCATCCTGGAGGTGCGGTTCAATTTCAAAGTTAAGTTGGATTTTAGATTTAAGAATTTATATAGAAATATAATTATAATAATGAAATTTAGCTAATCAATCGTAATAAGCAATAACCTCTAACCAACGTTGAACTATTGCTGTATTGGCAGGTCCTGTCAGTTGTATGTTACTGGCATGTATGGCTTTCTAAGAAATATTATCATTATGAACGTTGTATAAGCATGTTGTAAGCATTAATTAATCAATAAAGTCATAATCCACTACTATGGAAGTGGATTAATCATACATACATACACTTGGGATTAAAGAAAGGTACATTCGAATGGTATTGGGATGTGGTTATAGTTTTAAACAATGGTACAACAGTCTAGGTTAGGATTATTGGGTAAAAGATGGCACCAACACAATTAGAGATCAAAGTTAAGGCTTTGCAGCGATTAGTTAAAGAAGAGGGCTTTTACCAGCAAGAGTTGAAAGATCAAACAGATTATGTTGAAAAACTAAGGAAAGACTCTTCAGTTGATCCATACGATTTGAAGAAGCAAATTGAAGTGCAACAAGATACTGAAAGGTTGCTTCCTACACTTTACAAGAAGATAGGTGAGTTTAAAGAGAATCTAGAAGAATACTTAAAGACTTATCAAGGCAACGAATCACTAGATGATGCAAACAAGATCATCGAAGAAGCTGACAACCTAATTGCTTCTCAATGATTAAATAATCTGAGTATATATCACAACAAATTACATAACATATAATAATGCTTAATAAAATTCGATTTTTAGCTTTAAAATTACGATTAGTTCTAACTCAGCTAGATTTGAAAGGCTAAAATTAATTCCATTCCCAATTTTTTGGAGATCTTATGTGAGAAAAGAACCTTAATCAACTCAAATGAGAGAGTTTACTCTAAACTGCAACCATCAATTATAATTATGAGTATATTAACTTATCTCTATATGAGATTTTATGTTTACTGTCTTTTGATCTCTTAAGAAATGCCCAATACTAAATGTCTATGCGCATTGAAATTTTTCAGTTTAAACCAACGTTGAATATTAAAGAGATGACCTGACAATTACTTATGGCATGATATAATGCTAGTACTGGTTACATATAGAGACCTGTATATACATTCAAAGAATCACTACTTGGGTTATAGATCGTTTTCCTGGAGATGCTTCTCTGCCGTCAATCGCTGCCTGGCCTTCGATTATATTCCACTGTTAAACCAACTCAATTGATATCGTTTGCTTCTTCTGATGCTTTTAAAAAGTCACTAAATGATAATAAAGCTTTGAAAAGGTTAGGTTCTGCATACATGCAGAGCAAGCTGACGATTGTTGATGGCTATTCTGATAATGTCGAAATATCAGCAGAGTTGAATTCTCTGCGTACTCTACCTAGATCGGTTTTGCCAAAAGATGAAATATTTCATAAAGTCAGCAATGATCCTTCTGTGCCAAATTGGAGAAAACCTATTACCAAATGGTTTAAACTAGGTGTCTACATTATTAAATACTATAAGAAAGGTGTTCAGGCTATATACACAGTTCATAAGGAAACTAGCAAATTACGCCATAAGGTCGATAAAACATCAAATGTCCCATTAGCAACTGATTTATACAAATACATAGAATTGAGTGAGATTGAATCTCAAAAGAATAAAGAAAGCTCTATAGCATCATGCCCTATCTCCAGGAAGCAATTTGTCGAATATCATCGTCGTCAAGAGTTTTGGAAACTACCTTCATTTATACTCTTAGCATTAATTTTCGAAGAATTTACTGCTGTAATCTGTTATTTCTTTCCAAAAATGGTGCCATTTAATTGTTTAATCCCTGGTGGATATCAAAAGTTATCAAAACAAAACGCTAGGGATATGACAATTTCAAATTCCAATGAATTCAAATATCAATCTCCATATACAATTTCCAAGACTGTCTTATACGAATTTCTAAAGGGTAGAGTGGCTGAATCATATATTTCCAAATCAAAAATCGCCCTCTCTAAATTGAGCAATAACAGAAAAATCCCATCTGAAGCGTTGACGTACATATACCAACATATGTTTGTTGATGATTGGTTATTGCTGAATCATATTTTCCAAAACACTGAAACTAAGATAAGTTTTGAAGAATTAGTTAATGCCATAATGGAGAGAAAACTATATACACCGGAAGAAGACTTGAATCAAATGGTCAACACTGAGATAGGAAGAAAAGTTTTGACCTGGAGATTGTTAATATATTGGTCTTATAGATTTGAGGGATGTGTGTCTGTAATTCCAGGAAAAATGGAAGAGGGACAATTATTTTCCCAAAAGTGGGGCATTAATAACGTTTCAATAATCAATCACCCTGGCACAATCAATAATTCTTTGGTTACTGAAAAAGATATCCCAAATATCGAATGTCATTTGCCAAAAACTACCGAAATTTAAGCAAGTTCTCATCATTTAAGATGACGCTTAGAATTGATAGATATATATTCATGTAAATATTAAAAAAGTAATAAAGATTAATATTATAAATAATTATTATCAAATTATTAAATTATTATATTATGATATTATGAAATTATGAAATTATGAAATTATGAAAATGGCTTTTGTTTGCATCGCTGCAAGAACTTTATAAATTTAGGTATCCTTTTCAATATTTAAATCCTGTATGATATCTTTTGATAACTTTTGTCCTAAAATCATATGAAGATGTCCATGACCTCTACATATTCTCTATGTGAATCAATTGTACAAAATGAATTTGGCTTAACATTTCTCATTAAAAACTCATCCAACTGGCTCTCTTTCAGATCATTTTAACATCCCAAAAAATGGTCTGATGCCGGAGAATAAACCTTCAACGGAAGACCTTTTCTTTTTTCCTGACTTGAACTCCACGAGTTAAATTTAATGCCCAAAAGGTTCCCTTTCAAACAACTCCCAAAAATGCCAAATTAGGAATCCTCGGGAGTTCTTTCTTAAGGGTTATAAAAATTTCACAAAAATTATGTTTACCGTTAAAAAACACCTCCTATATGGGAAGAATCCCCGGGAAATACTCTTT